GACACTTTCCTTGACACTGCAGTTGAGGTTGACTCGTTTGTTGAGTCTCAGGCGGGAAGCACTGCGGTCAGACACACTGCAATTATCCCCGAAGGATTCCAATACGAGCCTCTCCTTTCCTCAAATGCCCCAGTGCGCTGTGAGTATCCCTTTAAGCTCGACAGATTCCAAGAACTGGCTCTACAGTGTCTGGAAAGAGACGAAAGCCAGCTTGTCAGTGCTCACACAAGCGCCGGCAAAACTCTGATAGCAGAGTATGCCATCCATCTGTCAATAGAGAGAAAGCAAAGGGTCATTTACACCTCTCCCATCAAGGCGCTTTCGAACCAAAAGTACAGAGAGCTGAACGAAAAGTTTGGGGACGTGGGGCTTATGACAGGAGATGTCACTCTAAACCCAGATAGTACGTGCATCGTGATGACAACAGAAATATTGCGTAATATGATATACAAAGGCACAGAAATACTCAGAGAAACACACTTTGTTGTCTTTGACGAGGTGCACTACATGCGAGACAGAGAAAGAGGGGTTGTGTGGGAGGAAACCATCATTCTTCTTCCGCACAGCATCCGGTTTATATTCCTCAGTGCAACCATCCCAAATGCCGTGGAGTTTGCTCGATGGATCGTATCGATACACAAGCAGCCATGCCACGTGATATACACAGAGAAAAGGCCCACGCCCCTGGAACACTACATATACACGAACAGTCCAGGCAGCAGCAGCAGGCCCAGCGGATCGCATGGCAACAACAGATTCTCTGGTAGAAACAAAAACAACAAGAATGGCGAAGTAGAGACAAGCCAGCTGCAGACAGCCAGTGATAAAATATTTATGATGGTTGACAAAGACGGACACTTTCAGACAAAAAACATCGCTAAAATACAGCAGAGACCGCTAGTTACAAAAACGGGCGGAGGATATGGAAGGCGCAGAGAGCTTATTAATGTAGTCGACATTCTGCAAATCCTCCAGAATACGAACAATCTTCCTGCGATTATATTCTCGTTCAGAAGAAAAGAGTGCGAAGTGTACGCAATGACTGTTGAGAAAGAGTTTGACTTCAACACGCCCGCGGAGAAGGAGCTCATTGAAACTATTTTCAGCAATGCGCTGAACACTCTCAGAGAAGAAGACAGAAAACTGCCGCAGATAGCTGGGCTAAAGTCTCTTCTGCTGCACGGGATAGGCGTGCACCATTCAGGGCTTATGCCAATTGTCAAGGAGATCATAGAAATACTTTTCCAGGAAAATCTGCTAAAAGTTCTCTTCGCCACAGAAACATTCTCCATTGGCCTCAATATGCCTGCAAAGGCCGTTGTCTTCACAAGCATAAAAAAGTTTGATGGAGTGCAGACGCGTTTTGTCACAAGTGGAGAATACATACAGATGAGCGGCAGAGCAGGCCGCAGAGGAACAGATAGAATAGGGAACGTAATACTGGCCGTGGAGTCAACGCTTGCCGTGAATGAAAAAGAGATAAAGAAAGTTCTGCACGGGCCATCTAACACGCTAGACAGTGCATTCAGGCTGTCCTACAACACGATACTGAACATTCTCAGACTGGATGGCATGGACGAAGAGTACGTTGTAAAGCACTCTTTCCTGCAGTTTAGACAGGAGATGCACAGGAGAGAAGCATACATGCGAATGCGCCAATACGCTGACGCTCTGCGCACTGAAACAGAAGAGTACACAAGAAAAGCAGAGACTTACTCTGGAGTTAAGCCGCACATTGAGAAGTATGTGGAGATGAGAATGCAAATGGAAACATCGCAAAGTGGAATAATATCTGAAAGCGTTCTTAGCAGACTTGTGCTCCCCGGGCGAATAGTGAACGTAAGTATTCCAAAGAGAAAGCAAAAGAGCATACCACAGGGAGAGACTCTGGAAATAGAGTATACCGACATTCTCTATGGAGGAGCCACTGTGTGTGCAATCGTATCAGAGTACACGCCAGGACAGGATGTGAACATTATCACCGAAGATGGAGAGGCTGTCGCAGTGCCAGCATCTGCAATACGCCGCATCTCTAAGACAACTCTCGACGTGAAAAGACAAAGAGCAAAGGGACAGCAGGCAGTGGACCAGCACTTCAAAGAGTTCTTCCAAGAGACAAAAAGAAAAAATAGAAAAGTGCTGCAGGATCTAGAGTTTTATACGCCGCAGGATCTGGGCATCTCAAGAGAAGACGCAGATATGCGAGATAGACTAGACAGTGCTGCAACTGCTCTGTATGATGCTCACATTCGCCCGTTGGAGACAGAAGACAAAGAAGGAGTATTTTCAATGATTGATTCGCTGTCATGCTGTTCTGCACTGCGGCGAATGATGGAAACACTTTCGCGAGACACTGCGCACATGCGCTTCCTCATCATGGTTGATGAGTACCACAACAAGATGAAAATTCTGCAGGCACTGTCGTATGTATCGAATAAAGAGGTTTTGATCAAAGGAAAAGTAGCCAGTGAAATAAGCAGCGGAGACGAGCTGCTTCTTACTGAAATGCTTTTCAACAACGAGTTTAGCAAGCTGTCGCCGGGAAGGATATGTTCTCTGCTGAGCTGTGTGGTGTTTGACGAAAAATCAGACAGAATGTCGCTTACGCCAGAGTCGGAAAGCGCGCTGAAAATACTTATACAGACAACGGATAGACTAGTAAAAGAGTTTGAAAGACTCGATGCGAACTTCAAAGCGAAGGAGTACACAGATAAGTTCTGCTGCAACTTGATGGATGTGGTGTATAGATGGACAGAAGGATACAGTTTTGCACAGATATGCGAGACAACGGAGGTGTTTGAGGGAAGCGTGATACGGTGCTTCAGAAGACTCGAAGAAGTGCTGAAAGAGATGTCGCGTGCATCGAAGGTGATTGGCAACGTGGAGATGGAGAACAAGTTCTCTGCTGCTATCTCTCTGGTAAAGAGGGATATCGTGTTTGCCAACTCGCTATATCTATAATAAAGATAAAGATAAGAGATAATACGCTGTGCTATACTTTTTGTGCTAGTAACTTGAGCAGTAGTCGATGGGAAGCAGTGTTTTATGCTACTGGCTGTGTATGTAAAATAATTTTAATGTTTAGCCCTGCCTTGAGCCTTATTCCATGGAAATGTTTAGTAAAATCTCTTCATCGCCAATTGGATATTAATCTGCTAGATACAATTCTAGGACAAAATGTGTTAGAAACAGGCTGGAATAAATACAAAATCAGCTATCTAAATGATCTGAGGAAAAAATATAAAAGAAAAAGGAATTGCGAGAGTGCAAGATGAATAGAGCTATTAATTCTAACATATCAGAAAAGAAAAAGAATAAATCTGAGGCAGAGACAGCAGCAGGAAAGAATCTTAAAGAAGATAGAGCAGAAACAGTCCATGCCGTATTTGATGGCTACTTTCCTTTTGACAGCCTCACTTCATTTATTATCGCAACAGACATGTTCTACATGTTTTATGTAGGATGCTCTTTTTTCTACTACTATTTTTTTGGTAGTTCTATTAGAAATGCAGAGACGCTCAATTTCCACTTTGTGTCCATTGTTACCCTGCTGATTAATGGTGTTAGCATATTTTTATTTTCTATATTTGGAGTGCTCAATCAGGTTTTTGCAATTAATTATCAGAAGAGATTGAGACAAGCCGTACACAATTTGTTTCTTTTGACTAGCGCGTATATGATAGTAGTACTGTTTGTGCTTATTTGCACAATGTACATCAATGGCGCTCAAGACAGGTATATATTTGACTTTATAATAGGCAAGACTTTCGTAGTGTACAATACCATGTTCCAGCCATTTTTCATATACAAAATGGTAGTGAGCATAGCGTATTATATGGAGGGAATGAAGCTTGTTTTTGGAAATAGAAGATATAACCAATTCTTCTTAGTTCTTATCTGGGTTTGCCTCATTATATCTGTCTTTTCTTATCGCACATGGATTTACAATATATTTATAGACATCTACGAATATATATCTCAATGAAGAAGGTCATAAAGTAAACCAACAATGTGTTTCGAATGAACAGCCCTCATCCTGCATTGTATTAGAAGATGATGCTGTACAGCTCCGCTAAAATAAAAATTACTAATGGAAATGTTTGTTTATTGGTAAACTTGTACTTTTATAAACCAATTACATTTTTAAAATTTCTTGGGCTGTTTTTTATTTAGTTTTAGCATTTTGTACTTTATTCACCGTGATCTTGTATTAACATTTCTTACTATGTAGCTGCCCTCATCGTCTTTTATTTCCCATGCTGGGTACAGTCTTCTAAATAGTGGCGTGTTCTGTTCGTAAATCATTCTTCCCATGCGGAACAGGAAAAAAGACGAAAGAAATAGCCCAAAGATTAGCACTGCAATCGTGCCGTTCATCTTTTTATCTTGGAGACATATGGCTTTCACTTTTTCTGAGACCCCCTTAGCACAGTTCTTGGCATACGGGCTTGTTTTACTTAGGCTGTCTAATATGCTCTTCATTGCACGCGTGCTCCACTCAGCTATTATTTGCCAAATACTGCTGCCTTTCTCTTTAATTGCTCCAAATATGGAAGGCAGCAAACTCTTTTCTACTATTTCTGATGATCTGTGATCCATTTTAAATAAAATTTTTACATTTTGCAAACCATTTTACACCTTAAGTGCGTCTCATTGTCTTTTCTACTGCAGGAGTTGTAAATTGTAAATTTTTTACTACATTCTTTCTGTATAGCTCTGTCTGTATGTACACATTCTTCTGCTAGCTTTTATTGTAAAAACTTTATAGAACAGAATAGTAAATAGTGCAACAAGACACAGCATGGAAGAAATCTAGAAAGACAAACAAAGTTTGAACAGAAGATAGTAACTATGTCATATTTAGATCTTTATAGTTTACAAAACAGATGGTGTTTCTTCTCTTTTTAGTATCACTAGCTAATGTATTCTATCTAATCCATCTATCTATTTTTCATTTAATGGCAGATGGTCTATTCTTTATCTGATCTACGGCCTAGTCTCTTCATCATCTCAGTAAGCATACATATGTCAATGTTTCAAAATACAGCAGGAATCTGATCTGTTTTTGTTTGCCATTCTGGTGCACCTCTGCACTATTTATATTTCAATATTTATTATTTTATGAATGAGAGTGTAATAAATAAAAGTGGAAATAAACATTGCGCTTTGTGCGGTGGCAAGAATCCAAGTTGGGGCTGTTTGCCTTTTGCTGTTCTTGTGTGCACCAAGTGCGCCGGCGGGATGAGAGAGCTGGGAACAGGTGTTTGTGTAGTTCGTTCGTTATTATTGGACTCTGTCTCTGAAGAGTTTCTTGCTCCCTTTCTCATGGGAAGCAATTCTCTGTTTCTGGACTGGTATGGAAATAACTGCAGAGAAGAGCTTTCTCTTTCTTTTTTCAAAACAGATCTGGCAAAAGAGTATGCAGAGCAGCTGAAAAGCGGAGCGATAAAAGAGAAAACAGCAAAAAGTGCTCCGGTGATAGGCCCCGGTGATGCAGTAAAATCAAAACTGTCAACACAAAAAAAATCAAAGCCGAAATCAAAGCTGAAGCTGATAGTGGAGAATGACGACGAGGCCTCTGAGGAGGACTTAGACGCTCCAGAGACAGAGCAACCGCAAAACGCAGCTGAAAAGGAGATAGTAGCAAAGAAAAAAACCGTTATAAAGAGAGTGCCTGGCAAGATATTAACAGACGAGTCAAATAATGCATCCAGATTGGGAATGTTCAAAAACGTAGAAGATCTCGGGAAAACAGAGAATGATGGAACAGAAGGCAAAAAGTTTCCTGGACACTCGAGCATGCTGAAGCCTTCTAGAGAGAGCAGCTCAAGAGTTCTCACGGGAGGGGACACAGGATCTTTTCAAAGTGCCATCCCAGCTGAAGTAATAAAAGGCAAAAACTTTATTGGGAGCGCTCCTCCGCCCAAAGAGTCGGTGGCAGATAAGCTGAAAAAGAGCCTGGAAAAGGGAAAAAGAACCCTTTTCAATACCTTCAAGAAATAGACAAAAATAAACCTTGTACTATTTATCTTGTTTCGTTCCTAGATTCAGAAGAATTCTTTCTTTCAACACAAAGTACTCGTTCAAAAGAGCGCTGTTGAGTGTTGCTGGCTCTTCTTCTTGTCTGATGCTTTTCAGAAGAGAGACGATGTTCTCTGAGTTTTTCTTTCTCTGGTAACTGATTTCCATTACTTTTCTCAGTATGCTGCTTATTTCTTCTTCGTACTCTTTCTTTTTCGTGTCCATGAGTATTTTTCTATTTTTACAATTATATTTGTGCAAATGTAAATTGCACAGGATAAAGCATTCACATGTTGAATTGCATTTTTTACAAAAACACCTCTACACTGCAAATAATTCATACTCCATTGCTTTCTACTGGTCAATGACTGCGAAGTAATTGGTTAGATAAGAATGGGCTAAAAAGAGCCTATAGCCAACCGGATACTAACCAAATAAAGAGTACAACTCTATCACACTCTCAAGCTCTACATTTATTGTGCAATTATACAAACGCACATTATACTAAAAATGTACGGAGTTTTAAATTTACTAGAACAGGTGCAAATAAGATATAAAGGTAGCTCTTTGAAAGCAATAAACACACTCGGTGCCATTTTTAGACACATTTATTCTTCAAACTATTTTTTATTTATTAATACGCCCACAGCACTCTTCTGTGCCTCTTTTATCCTCTAACACAGCCTTAGCTAGCTATCTGATAGTGCTTCTTGCCGTTTAACCCGTATCCTCGCTGTGAATTAGTAAATACAATGTACACTGATATGGCTGATGCCAGCCCTGCGAATAGTATTGTAAAATGCTCGGAAATTTTAAAGTTTGGATCTGTCAGCTTGCTGATAATCGGTGGCCATATGGAGTACGCCATGTTTATGAAGCAAGAGAGAAGAGAGAGGCCAATGCCCAGCTTGCTTGCTGATAGAAGCAAAGGATAGCACGGCCAGCTGCACGCCTGCAGACCCGATGATATCCCCAGAAGTATCGATGGAACATAGTAAAAAACCGTTGAATATCGGATCATCAAATGGCCAAGAGTGAACAGTATGCTGCCCAGGCATATACAGCTCAGTCTGTGCCCGTACTTATCCGTTGCTATACTAATGATGACGGTAAAAATAAGAGCCATAAACTCCTGCAGCGCAAGAGCCCTGCTAGCCTGCTTAAAATCAATTTGCAATCTGCGCTGCAGTATCGCAGAGTTGTTGCTGGAGAAGGGAGAGATAGCACACGCCAGCAAAACTGTCATCGTTATGAAATATGGCAGCAAATGGTGCACATCTTCCCCTTTTACGCTCTCAATGCTCTCCTCCCAGTGTGTCTTCCACTCGTTGTAAGTTATAAAGACAAATACCCCTCCAATCCACACGAATACGGTGGCGATGATCGTGCAGAACAAAGGGCCTTCATCAATGAGCGATCCCAGCAGGAGATACGCCAGAATGGAGCCGAGTCTACCAATGGCCACGCTTAGCCCAAAGACTCTTCCATGCTCGTGCGATGCAAAAAGAGAAGCGAGCATTTTATTCTGCGCAATGCTGAAACTTTCTCCTCCCAGGCCAATGATGAACCTGCCTGCCAGCATGCACTCGAAGATTTTAGTTGCTACGCCAATGCACATGATTGTCTGGCCCAGGACAATGAGAGAATATGTGTAGAGCATTTTTATCGACTCAGAGCCAGCGGAGAGGTTGAAGAGAAGCGGAAGGAGGAGGTTGGGGAGGGCATACACGGAGTAGAGCAGATTGTGGTAGCTGGCGTAGCTTTCACCGAATATCTTCTCCAGGCCCGAGTACATGGGAGACGGGCTGTCGTACGCAAAGAAGAAGAAGAAAAGAGAGGAGGACGAGAGAATAAAAAACCAGAGCCTGGAGGAAATGCCTGCCGTGTGTATTTTCATGAAACATTCCCCGAGGTTTGTTTTATTTTGCAGAAAGACGCGATCACCCCAAGAAACATGGAATACTCCTGTCCACCAATCAGCACAAGATAAGCTATCGATGATTTTCTTTAAATTTCTGAAATATGAGAATAAAAGTAGAATAATATTTTTATTTACTCGGTTACAACCGCATAACCAGCTCTTTTACCTGTTTCAACTGCTGGTCCAGCATCCCGTTTGACTGCGTAAGGAGAGATACAAACGTTTCAGACGGCTTTTCTCCGCTCAGACACGCAGATACGTTCGTGTCAATGAATGCTGATAGGTCCTTGGGTGTAAGACAGGCGTATGAAGCGTCTAAAAGAACAGCTTCACTGGCATACTCGCACAGTGCATTCCCCAGCACAAATCGATCCTCTTTTATGAGGTGCATGGGAAGAAGAAAGTTCAAAAATCCTCCTAGCCTCATCAGTATGTCTCTCTCGCACTTCAGAAATTCATCTTTCGTGTACGCGCCATCGCACACGTCAATGTACGCCATGAGGCCTCTCGATTTGCACTCTATCAGCTTGTTGGATATAAACAGACACACAGCCCCTATAAGCTGGTACTTCTCTTTTTTTACATCGTTTGCAAGGAAGTACTTGTCCACTATTCGCACAGCTGTCTGGTACGTTGTGCTATTCAGCTTGTAGTCTACTTTTACATCGTACATCCACTCAAGAAGCGTAGTTCTCATTTTCATTGTTATCCTGGCTCTGCTATTTTCACTTTTTTTACATTCTGCGCTGCCATCTACAATGTTTCTATTGTTCTCGACTTCCACATCTGAAGACTTACTGTCTTCTACCTTATCATCAGAGGACACACTTACGCTCTCTCCTTCTCCTGTGCTAGGCGATGATGCGCACACTCTGGCAGCTGATACTTCTTCATCCTGTGACAGTTCTTTATTTTCTGCCCTGTGCTGTTTTACTTTTTTGGTTGGCATCTCATCCAAACTCGTTTCACTCTTTCTAGCAACTCCTATCTTATTTACTCTGAATATTTCCTCAGCTGGTATCGATAGAATGCTATCGTTCTGTCCTCTGCTTCCACTTACTCCATCAGCCTCATTGCTATTTTCATTTTTGTTTTCTTTTTTTTCATTCTTCTCCATCAAGCACTCTACACTTTTCACACTCTGCATGCTCTGGCTGGTGTACACATTGTACTGGTACGGGCCACTGCACACTCCCCTGATAATATGCCGATTAAATGTATACACTCCCACACTCTTGCTATCTCTGTCTCTCTTTATCTCTTTGTTTTCCCTATACATTTTTACATTTTTCTCTCCCGCATACTTCTCCAGCAGCTCTGCATAGTCTCCTATTTTCCTGTCCAAGTGCCTGTAGTACTCCTCCGAGTATTCTAAATAGGGCTTCAGGATCTCTCTTCTCAGCGGCCTCTCCTCTCTCTTTATTGTCACTTTGATGTTGTTATTTCTTACATTGGTTATGTCTTCCAGAACCCTTTTGAGCATACTTCAATTTATTCTGCTCATTTTCTCCTTTTATTCTAAATATAATTTGGCGGTAAACTTGTTTCATTTTTTATAGTCTATGGCGGAAAGGAAGAAGAGAATGCTGATGGTTTTGAAAACTCTTGTCCTCCTGGGACTCATGGCTGCGTCTATGCTATTTGCTTCACTGGAGCCTCTCTCCCTTATTTCTCTGAAGAGCACCACTCCTGGCCTCTCTTTCAAAGAGCACGAAAGCGTGAACTTTTATGTGTGTTTGTTTTTCATCGCTTTCCTGCTCCCTCCTCTGCAGTACTTTATTTTGCTGATAGGAGGGTCCAATACGAACCTTTACAATCTCTGTCTGGAGTCGTATCTTGGCTGCACGTTTACTTTCCTTGTGACCAACATCATCAAATGGTGTGTCGGAAGAGAAAGACCAGACTACGCAGACAGAATAGCAAGAACCATAGGACAGACAAGGCTGGAGGCAAAAAGATCATTTCCCTCAGGACACAGCTCCATGTCCTTTGCTGCTGCCTTTTATCTGGCATACGAGTCATCACTCGCCATTAAAAAAGTGAGAAGCAACGGAGCAAAGGCTGTGCTGATATACATGGGAATAGTGGTGCCCCTGGGCCTGGCTGGAATAGTAGCATACACTAGAATACTGGACCACAAGCACGACGTAATAGATGTAACGGTGGGATCGCTTCTCGGGCTATTTATTCCCTACTCCATCAGGAATGTGATAATGAGGGAGAGACGAATTGAGTCTATGAAGAATGTAGTCGTGCAATGATGCTTTTATTATTTATCATGGAGTAAGCATTAAAAACGTATTAATTTATTTTTGTATGCATAGTTTGTATTTAACTGTAAGCTCTTCGAATAGCTCTCTTTTCGCTCGCTTACACACACTCATACACTTAGTTGTTTGGTTAGTTAGTTGATTAGCCAGTGCTTGAGTGGATATTTTCTATGGCTAACCAATAGTCTGCAGCTATGTTTTTATTAGCTAGCTATTGCCACTCTATTTGCCAGTTATTCTTGGTTGAATTAGTAATTTATAGCTGTATTATTGCGAGTGGCTATTTCCAACTAGTTTCTGCTTGGTTGAATATTCTTTATTAAACTCTTTAATAGTTATGATTCACTCTTTTCTGTTTACTCTACGGGCATTTGTGCCTACTTTAGGATAGCTCAGATAAATAAACAATGAAAAAGTTCCTGAACGAAGTGAATGAAGTAAGCGCCCAGATAGAAGACGGCAAGCATATCCTCAAGAAAATGAACAAACTGACAAGGCGTGTGAGCGGCGCAGCAGAAGAAAAAGAGTCAAAAAAGCTGAGAGACTCTCTCGAAGAAAAAAGAGGCGCTTTCATAGAGATAGTTGCAGAAATAAAAGGGCACATTGAGAGCATTAAAAAAAAGGTTCCTGAAAGCTCAAACCATGAACAGCACATAAAACAGCAGCAGATAAGATCGCTGGTGGAAAGAACAAAGAAAATAATAGAAGAGTTCAGCACGGTGCAAAGCGAGTTCAGCGCAGAAGAAAGAGAAAGACTGAAATCGCAGTACATCATAGCCAAGCCAACTGCCACAAAAGAAGAGCTCGAGGCAGTGGAGTACAGCGAGTCTCCCAAGATACCTTTCTTAAACAACAAAACAGACACGGAGGACAGGAAGAAAAGCGTAAAAAATATTTCCAAGGGGATACAGGATGTAACGAAAATGACAGAAGATCTGAATCTGCTTGTCCACAAAAAAGACAGAGACGTGGACAAAATAGAAATAGAAACAAGCTCTGCAGAGGTAAAAGCGAAGAAAGCAGACGCAGACCTAAAGGCAGCAGAGAAGTACCAAAGATGGTCCAGATACGGAAGAATGGCCTTCTACACCACTCTGATCGCACTGGCGTCAATTTTCATCATTGCCATATTCCTGTGGATACTCATGTACATAATACTTGCCATTTTAAGATACAGACTGTACAAGGGATTTGGACTCAGCGATGGATCATCAACAGCTAGTGGCACTGGAGCAGCTGGTACAACGGGAACACCAGGAGCAGCTGGCACTGCAGGAGCACCAGGAGCAGGAACTGATGGTACAGGAGGAACAGCAACTGATCCTACAGAAACAGCAACTGATGGCACTGCAGGAGCACCTGGCACTGGTGCAGATGCAACAGGAACAGATCCAACACAGATAAATAGCCTGGGACAGACAATAGGCCAGAGCATCCTTGGCGATGCCAATCCGAGCCCGTAATTATATAAAATAATAAACATAACATGTACTTATTCTATCCAAGTACTGTTTAAATATTTTAATAGTGTACTTGTGGAAATATAGTACATGTTATGTTTATATTAATAATTCAAGTAGATAAACAGTAAATTGGCATATCCAGCTGCTGCTCTAAGAGTGCGATTGATTCTCTTGTTTGCACAATTGATTAACCTATCTTATTCCTGCATCACTTTTAAGTAGCGATGATGCGAGAAATTAGAGGCATCTTATTAGCACGCATGGAGTACTTGTGCCAGTAGGAGAGCTAGCAGCGTTGTGTGGGTAGAGCGTGCTTCTATCATTTGTTCTTTTTGTGATATCTGAAAATAATCAAATCAAAGCTTTTATGTGATTCTTAATGGAAAATGCTAATAAACTTCTTTATTTTTATTCTTCCATCTGGTGCTTAATTATAGGAACGGAATAAGTAGTATCGCAGCTGCTCTCAGCTAGGCATTCCTTCCTCCCTTGAACGCTTCGTTTCTTCTGTTGTAGATCTCTTTCGATGCTGAGTAGAGCAGATGCACATCTTCCTTCAGACTCTTCAAGTTTCCTTCGATGATTAGATAGTTGAAGTCCAATGACTTTATCTGAAACAGCCTATTCACTGTAGACTCAGAGCGTTTTGACGATGTAACCAGCTTAGCGTACCTGGAAAGGGTCACTTCGTACTCTTTCAGTCTATTCGATGAGCTTTCGAAGAGGGAAAAAAGCTTCTTCATGGAGAGATCGCATTTTCCATGCATTGTCTTCTCCATGTTTATTATGTTCTTGGCCTCCTTCCCCACACACCAGTTGATTACATCTATTTCATTAATTATTTTTTTGTGGTATTTTATGATCTGGTCTATCGTGCTTCTCCTCTGCCCTATCGATGTCTCGTGGTGCTGTATTTTTCCGTCCACAGAAAGCCCTGCATATATCCCCGAGTGTGTGTCCATTAAATTGCTTGGCATGAACTGGTTCTTCATGTTCATCAGAAAGTCACCGTACAACTGCTGTGCTATGGATACCTCAAATAGAAGGCTCTTCTGCTCTGCTATGCTTCGGGTTGTCAATCTGTGCACCAACAAATACTCTCGAAGGTTGTAGTTGCAGTTCTTGTACAAATACTTGAGAATGCTGTACTGCTTGGGTCTTACCCAGTGCTCCTCCAATGCAACTTTCTTTTTGGCTATTTTCTGGCCCATTGTTAGACACTTGTACAGCGAATACTCCACTACGTTAAGAATATCGAGAAGATCCGCTGTCAGCGACTTCTTGTTTATGTAAAGAATCGAGCATGCCGTTTGGCACAGATTCTCCTGTGTTCTCTCAAAGTCTTTGTATTTTCCGTGAAAATCGATGTCTTCCAGCTCCTCCAGAAGGTAGAACAAAACTTCTCCTAGCTCCTTGACGCGCGCGTGTATCCTCAGCGCAAGATCTCTAATTGACACGCTCAACACTTCTGTGCTGCCTGTGCTCCTGTCCATTTCATTGTACACGCCAATGTAGTTATTCCACAGACAGACAAGCTCAATTGCTCTTATTTTGATCAGGTTGTGTTCTGGATAAAAATCCATTTTATCTTCGTGCGATGCAAATATCGGCGTAAGTTCTTGTTTTTCTTTCTCCAATCTCTCAGTGCGTGCCATTTCTGTTATTTGCATTTTCAGCCTCGTTGTATATTGGCGCATCGATCAAAAAGATCGGAAAAAAAGCGAGAGTCTCCTTTTAATTTTGACACTTTTTATCTTTTGATTTTTAAATATCCCATCATTTTGTTTAAAAACATCTTTATTAATTATTCGAGCTTTCCAACATTTAAAACTACTTCTGTGCTCTTACTCGCCGTCTTGATGTCTGCCTTGAAGACAGCTCCCTCCCTGGATCCTCTGATTAGGTCGGAGAAGTACTTCAAGTGCACGTGCTCTGGCACTCGGCGCACCATTACCTTCTCCTGGAAAGTGTTCTTGTCTCCGCCCGATGTAACTGAGTACTCTGTGGAAATAACGGACCGTTTTCCAATGAGTCTGCCAATCCCTTCAGAGAGAGTAGATACATTTACGTCTTCCTTTTCTACAACCTTCTCCCAGTCCTCTGCAGCAGCTGCTGTTTTCTCTGTTTCGTTCAGTTCTTCTTCTGTGTGCACTTTCTTTGGCGATTCTTCATCGGTCTTTTCTTCTGTGCACATTTTCCTTTTTTTTATGCTTTTGCTTTTCTCCTGCTCTTCTGGGCATTTCTCGCTGGGAGAGGATGAGTCTATGGCAGAGGTCAGAGGAGTTGCATTGTCCTGTGACACGTTCTCACTTTCCATGTTTTCTTCTTCCGTTATTTCTTGTATGCAGCACGCATCGTTTTCATCGCAGCATGCATCACTTTCATTGCAGCAGTTATCCTGCTCCTTGCTTTCAAGAACTAAAATATCCACAGACCCAGGCCCTTCTACTTCGATGTCCACCTCTCTATTGTCTATTTCAATGTCTACAACTTCGCACTCTTTCACTCCTGTCTCTAGGTCTGTTATTTTTATGATATCGCTTCCATCTTTTATTGTTACCTTTGTTGACGAGTTATCCTTCAGAGCGCTTTCTCCATCACTGCTGATCGATATGTTAAGTATTTTTGCTATTTCTGTTTTTTCTATTTTATACGGGGCATTCTCTGATACTTTTATGACTTTGTAGGAGGTGGCATCGTTTGCTGCGTCTTCCTCTATTTCATGCGACTCTATTTCAAGGAATAGGACGTCCAGTTCATTCTCTCCTTCTGTTCTTATTTCCAGCCTGACTCCTTTCTTCAATGGGATATTCAGTATTTTACTTTCCATTGTGTTTGTAAGCAAGTTGCACAAAGTTGCTTCGGATCCATCAATGCAAACAACAAGGCTGGATCTTTTTGTGCTGTCTGAGACGGAGGGCGTCAGCGAGACTGATTTAATAATGGTATCATGTTCTATGCTCTCTTGGACATAAATGTTATCTGGTCTAATGGTCAAACTATGGTACTTCATAAGCATGAAAAAAAAGAAGAAATTAAAAGATGCAAAAGCGCTGCACGAAAAAGTAAAATAATCACTGAGATAACAGAGCAACTGGAGAAGTATCGTGTGCAAACAATGCTGTTTTCTGCCAAATGAGTGCGCCACAAAGATGCAGGAAAGTGATTACTCTATATGGCAATAATTTTGATATTCCATAGTGCACAGCGTGTACTAACTGTACTCTAGCTCTTTCCACAGCACACCATCTACAGGTGATAGTTCACATCATGGGCTCTTCTAGTATGCTGATCATCGCATATACTCCTATTTACACTCTACACTTTTATAACCAGTAAATAGCAAATTTATTAAATGCATCCAAGCTTTCATTGGTGCAGCAGAGTCGCTAGCATTTCATTTGCCAGCCAGAAAGAAGACCATTCGACCGTTCAGTGCTCTACACAGCCATCCAATGGCTTATTCGTAAAACCATCCAATAACCTAGTAAATGCAGCATTCTAGCACCAACTCTCCAAGTGCTGCTATTGGACCTATCACATTGAAAAAGCGCTTTTCTTTCTCTCTGCTATTCCTACTATTGTATTGTCGTATACTTCACACATCGTGGTAGATGAGCAAAAGGCGCACAGATAATGAGATTAATCAATGACTGAAAGATACTCGTGCATTTATTCCTGTTTTTGTTCCCAAGAGAAATGCAGCTTGTAACTTGTTAAAGTAGTACGCATTTTAACTTTTATTTATTTTAATTAAGATAGTTGCTAGGGTCAAACTGCAGAGTGTTTGCCATTGAATAGAACGTGCAAAACTCGTCTTTCTTTTTCTTTTTGTTCTTTTCTACGTTCTCTTCTCCCAGCACCAGCTTGTCTAAGGTCTCCAGGTCTTCTTCTTTGAACTGGTGATGCGACTCTTCCAAATAATGTTTTTGTGGAACGCTCCCGTACTCTTTGGTGTATCCTGAATAGTTGGACAGGAAGCATTCGTAGTCTTCTTTTTTGTTCTCTTTTTTGATGAAGAGCGATTCGAGCTCTATCTCTTTTTCCGCCTCCTTTTTCTCCGCTGGAGCCTTTGTGTTCTTCACCTTTGCTCTCTTGTTTTGGAACCACACCTGCACGCTTCGAGGGGTCATTCTTAGCTTTGTGGCCAGGGCCTTCCTTAGCGCTGCGTCTGGCTTTATGTTTGTTTCAAATGTCTTCTCAAGAACCTCCAGCTGCTCTTTGCTGGTTCTCTTTCTTGGCTTAACATGGAACGGGTTGTAGTACGAGTTTTTAAACTCTCCTTGGGATGTTTTGTGGAAGCTATCGAAGTATGATTCAGGACTTGTAGGCATCTGTATTTCTTCTCCTTGTTATTTAATAACTAATGTCTTATTTATATTTACAAACTATCCAAATTTGAATATGTTTCTACTATTGGACATATATCTTAATTTAGACCTATTACAGTTTATGTCAAAATTGGCTTTTCCTTTTTTAGGAAATTCCACAATAGAACGCGTCCATGGAAGGCAAAGACAAAAAAAGACCTATAAAAGCTGAAAAAATAGAAAATGCAGAAAATATTTTACAGGGGTACCTCAGAGCAAAAACAAAAACATTCTAAGCCCGCAATAAAGCCACAGACTACCACAAGTTATTTACTCCTTTCTGCAAGCCAACCACTCTATGTGCTCAGCTGGGAGAGCTGCAGCTGAGTATTCTATTGGCACACTCTGCCATCCATTTTCATTGGCTTATCTACTTTGTTATTCTCAATTATCCACTCAACAAACCACCCAATAAGCCATCTACTATATCCTGCTTTCGTTCAGCCATCCAAAGCCAGGCAATAGAAGCACAGAGCCATAGAAGCAGAGCACTACAAATAGATTAGTATAGCATAAGCTAATGAACACCAGCTATTCTGTCCCTGCCAGATATTAGAATATGAATAGTGTTCATATGGCTTATTTATATCTTACATGGCAATTAATAATTAATTGAAATGCCAATGTTCTATTACCAGTATATTCCTAATTTGTGCCACTGAAAGTACAAATCACCCAGCATCCATTGCTTTTACTGTTGCAGCACTATCTCCATCTATTAGCTAAACCATCCTTAGTTATGCAGTGGTTGGCTAAGTTTTAAGCCCAGTAGCATGTGAGCTATGTGTTTATTTTGCAGGAGACAAGATTGTCAGAGTATATTCTCTTTAAAGCATAGATTAGAATGGGTTATTTATTATTCCTATCAGTTTGTTGTTTCTCCGGGCGTCTTTGCTCCTTAACACGATCTCTGCTATTCTTTTGACTATCTCTGTGTGTCTTACCATTTGCTCTGTCTTTTCTGTTCTGTTTTTTATTGTGATTATTTCTAGTCTGGTAAATAGGCTTAAAAGTGCGCACTCTCTTTCCAGCCAGTTCTTCCTTTCTTCTTTCTGCAGGGTCTCTGCTATCCTCTGCAGTATTTCTGTGTACTCCACTTCATACATCCAAGTAAAACCACGTAGTAAAATATTTACACTTTTCAAACATTGTCAGACATCGGATATTTATGAAGGCATGCAAAATGAGTGAATGAATACCATTGATAGCACTGCCATAGATATCTCCCAGCTGAGCATAGAGCCATTCACACAGAGGCCGTTTATTGAGCTAATCAAAGAGTCAAACGAGAAGAACCTCTCCCACGTGATTGCCAAGGTGTTTCTGAAAAATGAAAGCGTGCCTGTAATCTACGACGCGCGGCTGCTGTGCAAATACCTGTTTGAGCTGGTTATCTCGAAGGACGGCAGAATGGTACGCCTCAAAAGGGTCTCCGACCCTATGAACGACAAAGTCATCCGAGATATCCTGTTCTACGAAGTAGCAGGGCCTGGGAAGGAAGAGAGCGGGAGCTACATTGGGAATCAGAAGGACTTTCTGCAGTCCACGGGATTTAGATCGAGGATATTCAACAGAAATGATCCATTCGACTCGCTGAGCATTAATTTCATGTTCAAAGACAAAGAGAGCAACAAGGTTGGGAAGAAGCCTGTTCTTATCATTGGCGTATCATTTACAGTTCTATGCATTATACTGGTGTCCTGCACCTACACAATAATAAAGACATAGGAGAGCGTACTTAAATAAAGAATAGAAGATATGTTAATTTATAAAGTGTACAGAGATGGGACAGGTAGACTTTTTATCTGCTGCTGCTCGGGGTGTTGTCTTGTGTAGACTTTGTATCTCTTGCAGGCAGTGCTGTCTGGGAGAGCACGGCCTGTATCAGCTCGGGAAGTATGATTGCATTTATTGCCGTGCTGGATATTAGAACAGTGGATTTATTGGGCAGCTCCACGGCTATGTTCTCTCTTTTGTCTATGCTCCTGAGTGTTCCCTGCACAACAGTGCCTGCGTTCAGCTCTACTCTTACCTCTGCATCTATTGCTTCATAGACCCAGCGTATGCACATAGGCAAAAATATGCGAGAAATAAAATGGAGAATGCTTGCTGTGCTGGGTCTAATAAATGCACATTCTATGGGCTGTGTTCAACCATCCATGCTACTTATGATGCAGTGTGTATTATGTGCATGCTGCTTCTACAGCAGTTTAGTGCGTGCAGTACAGAAAATAAAGATATTTCTGAGCTATTTATTGTACTTGGCCTATTTAAGAGGTGTGCATTTAGTGCCGTAACTTACTGCACCTCATAAACTAAGTAAGTGCATGCTCAGTGCAACTGCATATCACGCTCTGTGCAGTATCTACACCTTTAGTACTTGCTTCAACGCGCTCTCCTACATGCTCTGGCATGGTTAGAAAATAAGCCCGCCTAAATTTTGTATTTCCATATGTGGTAAATTGGTTTTTTAATATACTCTCCTGGGAAGGCCTTAATTGAGCAACATGCCATAATAAGTAATGGACGAAAAGTGCAGGGCACCCATTCCATGACATTCTGTGCACGTACTACTAACTAGCATCGTGGGTTGGTTGTAACCAGGTCTTGAAAATACTGTCTGCTATAGGCATCGTAAATTATACACAGTGTAGTTTAATAGATCTTTATTTTTTTCTGTTCCATGTGTGCTCCTTTCCACTGCTGTACTCTGTTCCGCTCTTCTTCTTCTCTCTTCTCTCACTGAGGCTTCCCGCACTGTCCTCTGCCGCACTTCTATTGTACTGGATATATCCTGTCTCCTTGTTTTTATACTCACTCTCTTTACTCATCTCACTAGCTGCACCTCGCTTATTAAATGATGGCTTATAGCCCGTGCTACTCTTAAGGCTAGCTGTACTACTATTACCTGCACTGTATCTAGTATTGGCTGTGCTGTCGACTAGGTTATTGAATCCACTGCTGTAGCTAGGATTATAGCTCGTATTGGCTGTGCTGTTAGAGTTAGTGTAGTAGCTGTCTGTGCTCTCGTAATTACTATTTGTGCTAGTGTCTTCTCTATTTCTTTTATTAAATGATGGAATGAACACACTTCCTGCGGGTTTTTCATTGAGTGAGGGCGGAATGTATAGATCGCTCTCTGCAGCCACTTCTCTATCCACTTCTCTATTTAGTTTCTTGATGAAGGTTGGTGTGTATTCTGGTGCTATGCTTTCTTTTTTGACTGGCTCCTGCTCTACTATTTCTATCTCCGGTGCAATTGGTTTTTTCTCTTCTGGCTTTATTTCTATCTGTTCCACCAGTCTACTAACTATGTCGTAGCTGTCCACTATTTCACTGAGCATCTTCAGCTGTTTTTCTTTAGCCAGCTTAAACCTACTGTTTACGACAGCGAGTGCTGCTGTTGTATCATTGCTAAGTACACTTATAGAAAATGACTTGATCGAGTTTCTTAGTAGATACTCTTTTCTCTCGAAAACTATCTTTACTCTTTCTTTCACCTTCTTCTTTACCACTTCTACTGTTTCTTTAACTTCTTTATCCTTAGCTACTATCTCTACCTCTTTCGTGATTTTTACTGGTCTTTCTGGTACGCTTGGGCTTTCTGTGAGCTCATTGATGTAGTCGATAAAAGTGTTTTTGGAGTTGCCTGGGAGAACACGTATACTTCCATTAACCACCTCGTAGTTCAGTCTGTTCTTTCTCAGAAATGTTATCTTGCTGATTATTTCGTCAATTTCATCGCTGTTTTCGGAGCTGTTTTCAGAATTATTTTTTGATATTTCATATTCATACCACTTCCAGTGCTCTATGTCTTCCTGCTTTACGGAGTACACCACGGGATATGTTGTGTTTATATCTGCGTGCTTGTTTTTGCTCTTGTATCCTATCAGTTTATCGTAGTCTGTGATTATTTTTTGGTACTTCACCAGCTTTAGTAGCTCCTGCTGCGGCGAGACCTTTATTCCGTTCTCTTGCAGTATTTCCAGACTATTTAGGAACCCTCTGTAGTTGTTGTTCGACAGGAAGTACTTTCCCATGATGAACACACGCAGCGTGTTTATGTTGCTGTTTTTAACGGCCAACTTGCTGTATAAGGAAATCAGTCTGTACGACTCGTAGAAGTATCCAATGCTGTAGAAAATGTGAATGTGCTCCGCAATTACGCTGTACAGGTCAGAGAACAGCTCTATGCTGTGCAGATAGCTGGCAAGATTGCCGATGTTTGCAATGTCATTGCTGGAGATAAGAAGGTGCGATAGTTTGCTAATAACGGGCTTGATCACAAGAGGGTTCTTCTTGTTCATGTTCAAAATTGTGAACAGATTGCTAACGGTCTCGCTTTCTCCACTGCTTTTCTTATTTAAATCAAGAATGCAGCAGCTACAGTCGGTATTTTCTGTGATAATTTTGCAGCTCTTGTAGTAAAGTGCGCTGTTTATGGGTATAGTCGAAATATAGCTGTTTATAAAGCTGTTTATGTACGTCGTGTTCTTCTGTTCTTTTGTTCTGAGCTTGTAAAGTATTTTCTTAATGTCGCTATTCTCCATCATGTTCACTATTTCATTCATGTTTGATGATAGAGTATTGCTTAGTACAAGGGAATCGATGTACTCTTCTATATTCATACACGCAAAATAAAAATAAAAATAGAAATAGAAGTAAAAACCGAAACTGAAACTGAAAGAAAAAAGAAGTAGCACACGCACTGCTAAAAGAGACAGTAGCGAGAAGATGGACCAAGAAATCATTTGGTAGATAGCGCATGTTTCCAGGATGAAAGCATGAAAGTAGCGAAAGAAAGAATGTTCGGTAAATAACAGACTGCTATAATGGAAATAGCAGGAGTAATCAAAGCAGCAGAAATAAATAATAGCAGATGAGAGTATGAAAAGCAGTAGAGATATAGAAGAGTTAATCAATTGACTAAAATGCTGCGTGCTTGGTCTCTCTAAGTTTCTGTTTGCTAAGTGTCTGTTACTCGGGCTATAAATACTTTTATTGTTTTATTTCTCATGCACGATGTAATGAAGGGCATTGAAGAAGTAGGCCGTGTTTTTCTCATGAATGGACTATTCTCGTATGCTGGAATAATGAACAATAGTAAATCTGCTCTGTGGAATGGGCTCTTTACCTATTCAATCAGCAAAGGCTACTCTCCATTTAAAAGCGGCGCAGTGGCAGGGTATCTAGCAGGCGATAGCAGCAAATACGTAACCCGGAGCATCAGAGGAGGAGTGTCAGGCGTAGGAGTATCACTATCCAGCAGAGTAGGACACTACTTAGTAAATAAATGGAAACACAAGTAAAAATACAGACTATTCAGATGTATTATTCGTTTTATCTAGTCAATGGACAGAATTAAAGTAAGAGAAGTATCGCATAGTATAGAGATGTAGTCGGCTGTTCATACAGTAGATCTATGCCTACTCTATCTATCTCTTAGCCTGTTCTTATCTCTGGCGATGTTCTAGCAATTTTTATTGTTTAATTCTACCTTAAAACTACTCCTTGTCCTTCCATATGCATTCTTTGTTGTCTAAAATTGATGATTGCTAGCCCTGTCTTTTTCTTGCACTATTTTTAGCACTTTTGTTCTCTAGCTTCTTCTTTTCTTTAATAAATGGGATGGAGAGTGGAATACAACTGATTTATTATTTATTTAGATAGTGCAGTATCAAAAGAACAATAGACAATATCATAATAAACAACGATATAAATCTCTTTGCCACTTTCTTCTTTTCTCCTGCATTCTTTATGTAGGTTCTGCTTATTTTTACGTCCACTGATGCAGCTGACGTGTTGTGCAGTATTATGTCTATTCTTTCGTCCTGGATGTACAGCTCCTGTGTTATCAGCTTCTGAAGTATGTCGATCTCCGACACTTTTCTTCTGATTTGGACTATCTCCCGCTCTGTGCACCTGACTCTTTCCAGTATTCGCACGTTCTCTTCCTGCAGTATCTGCATCATAACGGGCTTTGTTTTTACGGTTGGCGTTGATCTTTCTGGCTCCAGCGCAATGTTTAGCGATGGCCGAAGTTTTTTGCTTTTTCTTTCCTCTAGTTTTATTTCTGTTTTCTTCACTGCTGTTCGTATGTTTGCTATAACCCCTTCTAGGAACTTGCTGACTTCGTCCAGACTCTGCAGCAGCTCTATCACTCTATTGCTCTCCTTCGACAGCTCTTTGACTGTTTTTTCAACTTCCAAATAGTCTCCTCTTTTTCCTGCCAGTGCAGAGTAACAAGTGTTTAAAGACACTCTTAGGTCTTTGGCTATGTTTAAGAATGTATTAGTGTTATTATCTATTTTATTACTTACAAAAGAGTGCGTGCTGCTGTTGCCCAGGCTGTTTCTTCTATACTCCTCTGTTCGATCCATACTTTAAATTTTATTTTGCTCTAATTTTAATAATACTATTCTTTATTAGCCTTCTAAACACTTATTCTAGTTCTCTGCACTTCTGTTGATAAACCAGATAAAAGTCTTAACAACTGATATTTCTAGTATGCTCAGAACCAGTCTATGTTTATCTGATTGAAATTATCGTGCGCACAGGTCCATTTCACTTTCTAATTTTTATTTTGCTGTTTGAGCTAGTTTTATATTTTTAAACTCACTTCCTCAAATTTATTCAGCCATCAAATGGTGTTCTAAACTGGAATGAAGAATAAGAGCAGCTGTTTCCAAAGTATAAACAAATAGTTAAATTTTTTAATAGACCAATCATAAGTAGCTGAATTTGTTAGTTTTATTGAGTAAAGTATTGAACAGCCAGATAGATAGAAAGTGTTGAGAGTTTTCTTTTAGCTTGTTATTTCTCCTATTTTCTTTTCTATTTCATGAGTTGATTGGTTTAATAGTTGCGCAGTGTCCTCTGTTATTCTATTGTGTTTAGAATTGTGTTTATTTCATTTACTATTTCGTTGTCTAGCAGTGCCGTATATCTTATGTTTGGAATGTAGTTCTGTCTGGTTACGTTTATAAGTGGAATATTGTACACAGTGTTGTTTATATTGTTCGAGTAGTTAGCAGGGTAGTTTGTTGCAATGGAGAGAGATGGTTCGTCCTTTGAAGTGCCAAGTCTCTTGGGAGGTATCCACTCACTCATTCTTGCAATAAAATGTAAAAATATTTAAATATCCAAGTAATTCTATCTGTTTTTATTTGCACTCTAGCTCTAATTATTTTTTAATTAGCCTGTTATTCTAGTTATAGGATGTTCTACCTGCAGAATACGCAATGTCTGCTACTTTCATTCTTCTTTCATGGTTTTAAAATGGAAGAAGGTGAGAGCATCACCACTGCACTAGATAATTCTTTCTTTCTTTTGGCTTTCTATACTTTGTAAACGCCCTCTTGCCTTCCATGCTCTCTATTTCCACTGTTTCCTGTGATATCTTGTCATTTTGTATCTCGAAATATAAATTGCTATCAGAAACAACTCCCTGGGATGGGCCGTACAAACAGCCGCCTGCGCACATGTTCATCTCTATGTAGATGTAGCTATTTAGAATGCTCCTGTCTTTTTTTACTTTGCTAATGAATGACACGATTCTGCTGCTGCTGAATAGCTGCAAGAGTCTTCTGTTCTCAGGAGCAATTAGCATTTCATTGTGTTTCGCATTTTGTTTGACAACTGCTGCTGAATTTATTTTATTTTCCAGCACATGGCTTAGCACGCTTTCAAACACTCCTCCGGCAGTAGACCCTTTTAAAACTCTGCTTACACCGTACTTGTACATATCATAATCACTGCTATCTTTATCATACAGTTTAGGAATATCTTCGATCCTATCTGTTTCTTTATTCTCATCTTCTATTTCTGTTTTACCCAGCAAATTATCGTGCAATTCTTTGGCTGTGATAGAATAGTCTATAATTGTGTTGTTTTTTGCTTCTACCCTTTTGTCCTTGCACATGACTATAGATATATTTTTATTGTTGTTTAACTTTCTGATGTATGTAGCTGATATTTCTATGGGAGATAGATTGTTGCTAAGCAGCTCTTCTGCTCTATCGAGTGCACTGCACAGGTAAAGAACAGTGCCGGGGCAGATAGTGCTGATGGTAGTCCTGTTTTTATCTACCAGATCTATTTCCTGCTGCAGAAGTAGCTTGGTTCCTATGGAGCTATCTATTACTTTGTTGTTATTTCGAGACAGATAGCTTAGCAGATGGTACTCGAATGCTCTAAACGACTTGTCTGTCTTTTTCATGGTGTACAAAGCTATTTTGACCTGAGGTGTAATTATGATGTTGGTATTTCCCTTTTTTATTGACTCAATGCCTTCCATGTATGAAAGATCGTTTTCATCAATGGTCACACAGCCAGAGCACGACAGACAGTCTGTTAAGTTAATGTTAGCAGATGAAACCGGTCTGTCACACATTGGAAATAAAAAAATAAAACACGTGAGTTGTAAGTATCCACATAAAAAATTCTAATTGTAAATATTTAAAAGTTTAGAGTTTGTGTTTGGAGAAAAGTTTTACACTCCACGGATAAAATTTATTCACATAAAGAAGAAAAAATGCGCTTGTTTCTTAAGACAGAAGATGCAAACATTCTATAGATATAGAGGCATCACACTAATCGGTCTGCGTATTCTACCTTTTAGTTATTAAGAAGCTAGTTATGAAATGATAAATAATACTAGAGGATAGTAATTTATAGGTCAATATATGATAGTAAATGATGATGACGAGTAGTACTAGACGCCAAGAAATGACAAATGAATGTGACAACTGGCACATCACAATAGATGGCACATAATGACATAATGATATAATGACAGGTAGCTGAGGAATGAAGAGAGAATGAAGCATAAAGTAATTTTAAAAAGTTAGAATTCTCCTGTTCTTTGGCTATTCCACAGGGAGAAGTCTGGCTGCTTTACAAACCACGATAAAACATTGCAATTTATTCATTTATTCTATTTACTGATTGGGGCGTGAATACTTCATGCATCTTTTCATTGGCTCTTGTGTCTCTGCATACTTCACGTACCAATCAAAATTAAAATCATAAACAAGATTGTTCTGGACCAGAGCATTACTAAATATTCTCTTAATGTACAAATAGTCAGGCATTTCGTCGTACTCCAGCCTCCGCGTGTACTCTAAAAACTCTTTAAACGACGGATCCAAGCCTTTGCACAGTTCGTCTGGTGATGTCTTTGCTTTTATTTCGCCTATCAGCTTGTATCTGGCTTCTTTGCTTACTGCCTTAATACTCTGCCACGGGAGCTTTCCTTTCATGAAATAGATCAGCATGTATGCAAGGGACTCTAAGTCATCTCTCCTGCTTTGGTTTATTCCGTTGTGCGTGTTGAGAGACACGTATCTTACTGTTCCCAGCAGTTTATTCTTAGTTGTCATTGGCTTGTGCGTGTAGTTGGGGGTTCTGTACATGCACGCCAGCCCAAAGTCAAGAACGTAGAAGATGTTTTTGATGGGCACTTCTGTTGCATTCTTGCCTCCATTCGATATCCCAAATAGGAAATTGTCGGGTTTTACGTCTCTGTGTATTATGTGCTTGTAGTGCAGATACTCAATTCTTGTAATGAGCATCTCTGCCAGCATGAGAACTGTTTTCAGGGTGAATGTCCTGTCGCAGTAGTTGAAAAGAGACTCCAGAGAAGGGCCCAGTAGATCCATTATTATGAAAGATCTTTTTGTGTCTGCCATGTTCAGAGTGCCTGCCTGGTAGATTGTTGGGATGTAGTTGTTCTCTGTTTTCAGCAGCTTGTAAATACTCTTTTCGTACGCTAACTGCGAAGACCCCGCTTTCTTTTCTATTTTTACTGCCACTTTCTTGTAGGTCTCTTGGCACTCTCCTTCATAGATATCCCCAAAGGCACCCGATCCTATTTTCTCAAGGATTTTGTACTTTCCAATGTGAATGCTCTTAAAGTTCATGCATGAAAATAAAAAAGAATAGAAAAATAAACGAGTACATGGGATGGGGCAAAAAATACACCAACCAAAGGGAAGAAGTGTGCCAGCAAGATAGCTCACAGCAGAAAATCGCTCATTAAACAGTATTCAGTGAGAAGGCAGCCTATTTAGATACAATGTAGGGCGTAAGGAAAGAGAAAGATAGACGATTTCACCACAAAGAAAGAAACTATACAAGAATGCCCAGTGTGTCTAGTGCACAGAAAATGTGAGAATCACAGGACATTTATATTTAGTGTGAATAGATCAATATTAGGAAGTTCTAGAGAGTATTAAGTAGTAGTAGGTCTCTTTAACTATATGCTCTGGTGGATGTATTGTAGAGTAATGGAATAAAAGAGCAATGATAAGCTATGCTGTTCTTTTTGTCTCACACAAGCACTATCCAAAATGAAGAGCTGAAAAAATAGAGTGGCTGTGGAGTGCGAGAACAAGCTGCTGAGAAAGATGGAAATAAATTAAATGTTTTGCAGAGCTACTATAATTTTATAAATATTCTAAATATTTTAAATTGCATGCTGAGAGAAATACAGGCCCAGGAGCTATCTGTGCTACTGAAGGGAGAGTCTTTTGAATGGTCTATTTTGATATTGGACAAAGACGGGCAGGACATCATATCCCCGCTGTTTATTATGACCGATCTCATGGAGATGGGGATAGTGCAGTGCTTGAGAATGGAAGATAGCAGAGAAGCGAACTTGGAAACAAGAGCAATTTATTTTGTAAAAGAGACAGAGCAGAATGTGGCAAGAATAATTGAAGACGTGCGGTGCAATATGTACAGCAGAATAGAAATACTTTTCACGGGAATAGTCAGCACAAAGTTCCTCAGAGATCTTTCTCTTAAGCTGGCAGCGATAAAAGAGGCTAACAGAGTGGTGAAAGTGGTGGACACAATTTCCACACACTCCATGCTGCACGATAACATATACACGCTGAACATGGAAAATTCTTTTGTCCAGACAGCGAGACTCGGCAGTTATTTTGCACAGACACAAACCACGCAGGCAGAAACAGAAATAGTCGAGCACACAGCTTCTACTGGAAATGAAGCAGGCAGCGAGAGTGCAGAAGAGATGGAGCAGGAGCATTCGGGGTACTTTGAGAAAATAGTTCTGTCGCTACTGTCTATTTTCAAAAACACAAACGATCCCGTTATCTACCACAACCACCCGATATCTCGGAAAATATCAACAGATTTTCTCGACAGACTGTCGGAGATAAGAGAAGTGCAGGAGAGAAAAAGCCCGCAGAAACACAAAAAACAAAAAAGACCGCTTCTCATCATTTTGAACAGAAACGAAGACCTTGTTGGGCCGATGTACCACACAAACTCATACGGCGCCATGCTCAATGAAATATTTGAGTTCAATCTTAACAAACTTGTCATTGAAAACCCAATAAACAGCAAAACAGAAGACGACAAGAAAAAAGAAGGGCCAGAGATATACAACCTCAACAGACACGACACATTCTACAATGCAAACATAAACCAGCCGTTCACCACAGTAGTCGACAAAGTAAACGAAGATCTGCTCGCATACAAAGAGCTCTCAAACAGCGCATCGATCAACATGTCGAGTGGAAACGATGAAATGATAAAATCGCTGATCAAGCTGCCAGATCTCGTGGGAAAGAACAGACTTCTGTACAACCATCTGAACATTGTTCTGAATGCAATAGAAGTTATCAAGAACAAGCACCTTGATGAGCTGTTTTCGATAGAAGACAGCAGCGCAATAGATGTTCCAGAAGTGGAAGAAATCATCGGAAAAATAGATAGGAACGAGCTGATTAGATTATGTGCAATAATCTCAGCCAAGTTCAGCAAACAGTACGCTGAACTGTCAAAGACAATAGACAAAACTCTGCAAAACAAGGCAGTGCTGAACTACATAGAAAGAAACACCGTAAAGCACGGGATGAAAAGCAAGATAATAAATAACCTGAAAAGGATGATAGGCGTAGGGAAGGACGGGATAGTGAGAAGAATAGAGGAAGTGTACAACAAAAGAGAGGAGGATTACTCCTCTATAAATGTGCTCCTGCTCGGAGGAGGCACTTATGACGAATACAAAGCAGTGATGGACTACGGAAAATCGCAGAACATAAAAATAACGTACGGAAGCACAGAAATTCTTTCAGCAAACAATCTTATAGCACAGATAGAAGAAATAGCACAATAAATATACTCCTTGTTTATTTTATTCTTTAAAAAAGACCTCCTCGAAATTCTTTCCCGTTTCATCGCATATCTTTCTTACTTTTGTGACTATTTCTGCTATTTCTTTTCTTGTTTCAAGGTGTGCTTTTCTGTACGTTTCCCTCATTTTCTCCAGATCTTCTCTCTCCTTTTTTAGAGTTTTTGCCAGATCGGTGAACTCGTTTACCTTCAAATCAACTCTTTTCATCTCACTTTCAACCAGCAGCTCCAGCAGTCTTTCTTTTTTCCCTTCTTCCAGTGTTTTCTGCTCTTGCGCCCGTGATAGACACGATGTCAGTGCAATCACAGCTATTTCATTGAGTCTGTCGTTCAGCCATCCCTCTTTTCCGCTGTTCTTCTGAGATCTTCTGTGGATTTCTTCGACTGCAACCTTTGCAGCAGCTGATGCCACCCCTGGATGAACAACACTCGCAAGGAATGCGACCGTTGACATTACAGGGTTCAGCGAATAGTTGAAAGGCATTTTATTTTCGGAAAATGAAATAGCCTCCATTTCCAAAAACGGATCTTGTATTCCCATTTTCAGAAAGTGCAGCACGCACTGCTCCAAAGTCTTTGTTTTTACGTACGATGCAACTGCCTTCCAGTCGTCTTTGTACATTTCAATCCCCTCGACAAGGAGCATTTCTTCTTTTTCTGTCCACATTTGTCGAATTACGCCAGCCTCGAGAATGTGAAAATCAGAGTAAGAGTAGCTAGAAGGATAGTTGCCAGCACTGAAGCAGGCCAGACACAGGACGCTCTTTCCCTTCTCAGAAAAGTATATCTTTTCTTCTGATGAAAGCACATTCATATTTTTACTACAGTGTGTGCAAGAAATGTCCACGGGAATGTGGCTCTGTCTCAGGCCGTTTGGCTGCAGACTAAAATGTTTTGATGGATCGTGCAAAAGATCTGCAGGAGCTTTCTGGACACTTGGGGTGATGTTGGGTGCGGGTATGTTTGACTCTCCAACTGTGACATATCTACCGCTATCTCCAGAACTGTTAGAGAAATTATTGTGTGTGCTGGAAATACTATCAGTGTGCTTTGGCTCAGCGCTGTGTCTGTGCACAGAAGTGTTCACGGGGGCATCAGAAGAGTGCGCAGATTTTTTCTGTGCCTCTGCATCTGCTGCGGCACTGCCTTTCTGGATGTTGAACAGGTCTCTTTGTTTTATTTTTTCGAGCATTTTTCCAACATCTCTTTTCACTCCTATTTTGTAGTTTATCAGGCCCCAGTGTTCGAGAAATGAGTATATTTTTATCAGAGTGGAGACGTCTTCAGACACTTTGCGTCTGCATTCAGTGATGCTCAGATGGCTTGCTGTGTTTTCTTGGTACATTTTGAATATCGTGTTTCTTGTTGCAACGTATTTTTGCCGGTCTTCTTCGTTTTCCAGATAAGAGTTAAAAAATCTTCTCTCTATGGGATGGACTGATTCTGTGCTGAACCAGGCAGAGTGGAGAGGAACAAGAATTGGTATTTCATTTCTTTCGTCCAAAACTTTAAAGAGCTCCGGATAGCTTGTTTCCATCGACACAGCGCTTCCTTCGTCCTTCGCAGGCTCATTGGAGATATTCACCACTTTCTTATCTACTTCATTCACAACATTCATTTTACTTTTTGCTTGGGCTTTATCCACTTTGTAGCTCCATTCATTCATTGCTATAAAAAAATTATTGCACTTTATTGGTATAGTCTAACAGCATAAATTAAAACAGAGGCAGCACAGAAACAGGCAAACAGAAAGAAAACACAGCAAGCAGCTGTGAAATAAGCAGTACATGAGCAGTACAGAGTGCTGCAAAGGAGTGTTTTCACAAGATCAAAAATAGCTGGAATAATAATCCCAAAAGATTGAAATCAAAAATGATCAGTGGAAGAGATGGAAAATAAGATGGAGCACAAACAGTCCACTATTAAATACCAGTGCAGCACCACAAGGCAATGAATAGAGAACAGCAGAACACTGAATAACAAGCATTCTAAACACCACAAAAAACCAGCCACCACTACTATTTTCTATGCAATGGGGGCGCTAAATAGAGATGCCAATGAATAACCGTGAGACATGGACAGTTGGCCTAAATAGTACAGGAAAATAATCAAGAATATCCTGTGTTTAATTAATTTTTCCATTAATTAATTTTTAATTTACTCAGCGCTCTCCAATACTTCTCTCTTTCCAGCTGTTTGTGCATCTGCTATAAAAGCACAGTAAGTTATCCGCTTAGTCATTGGTCAATCCACATCTTGTAAAAAATCACTGAAAACTTTTCCATTAGCCACTTCTACAGCCGCTTTATTTATTATTTCTTGCAGGAAAGGGAAGCAGCACAGACTCCTACTGCAGAATGTGGTAATTATCCTATTTCTGTGATTTTTCTCTTTTTGTTTGATCTGTCTTTGAAATTGTGTTTTACTTGCGCATAAATAGTCTCTGTTTTTATTTTATTTATGAAACGCGACAAAGTATTCTCCCCCAAAGTAGATGAGTCTCTGTACTCCAGACAGCTGTACGTCATAGGAAGCGAGGCAATGAAAAGAATGCTAAAATCACACGTTCTAATTTTAGGTCTGAAAAAGTCAGGCATCGAGGTGGTGAAGAATCTTGCACTGGCTGGGATAAGAACTATCTCCGTATTCGACCCGTCTCCTCTGTCTCCCGAAGATCTGAGCACTATCTACTACTGCTCTGAGTCCGACATAAACGACAGAATAGACAAAAGCATAGAGTACAAACTAAAAGAGCTAAACACACAAGTTACCATAAAAGTGCTTGAAACAGAGCCAGAGGACATCACGCCGTACACCGCTGTGATGGTCAATGACGCTTCTCTCGACTACCAGCTCAGCATAAATGAAAAATGCAGAAAGCTGGACATTCCGTTTATCTCTGTGAGAACAAAAGGCCTTTTTTTCCAGCTTTTCTGCGACTTCGGAGATTCGTTCATAAGCACCGATACAAACGGAGAGGCGCCTTTCATTGGAACTATAAAGTCAGTCTCATCCACGGGAATAGTTACCGTGCTCGAAGAAGAAAGACACACGCTGGAAGATAACGATGAAATACTGGTAAAAAAAAAGAAGTACACAGTTAAAGACACAAAGGCATTTACGTTCGCGCTGGAAGGGTACACAGGAGAAGATCTGGCAGGAGAGTCTTTTGAGCAAATAAAAAGAAGAACTGTGATACGGTTCAAGCCGCTAAAAGAGGCCCTGGCCAATCCGCTGATTCACTCAGACTTCAATGGATCAGAAATAATCCACAACTGTTTCGGAATGTACGACAAAATAAAAACACTTTCTCTGCAGGAGTCCATAGAGGAGTACACAAAGAGCCACAAAATACACACAGATGACATGTACATCGTGCGAGAGTTCTTCAGACAGCCAGATGCTTCGATTTGCCCAATCACATCGATTGCTGGCGGAATGGCAGCGCACGAAGTGCTGAAGGCGTGCAGTGGAAAGTTCACTCCGCTGCAGCAGTTCATGTACTACCACGCGCTGGAAGCCCTGCCTCCTGCAATATACAAAAAAGTAACGGAGAGAATAGCCACTCAGCAGAGCCGGTATTCTCCCATTATGGAAATATTTGGAGATAGCGCAAAAGCGATATTCGAGGCAGGAATATTTGTGATAGGAGCAGGCGCAATAGGATGCGAGCATTTGAAGAACATTTCTATGATGGGCATGGGAAAAGAGGGGAAAGTGGCGCTGACTGACATGGATGCAATTGAAAGATCAAACCTGAACAGACAGTTTCTGTTCAGAGAGAACGACATCTCTCACATGAAATCAGTTGTAGCCGCAAGAGAAGCATCGATGCTAAACCCAAATAATGCGAACAACCCCATTATGGCATACGTTTCCAAAGTGGGAAAAGAAACAGAGTCACTTTTTAACGACGAGTTCTACAGCAAAATCGACGTAATACTCAACGCACTGGACAACGTAGAGGCCAGGCTGTACGTTGACAACAGGGCAGTCTACCACAAAGTTCCTGTCATTGATTCGGGTACGCTGGGATCAAAGGGACACACACAAGCAATCATTCCAGGAGTAACAGAACACTATGGAAACACGAATGACCCCCAGGAGAGATCCATCCCGCTGTGCACCATTCGTAACTTTCCCTATCTCCCTGTGCACTGTGTGGAGTGGGCCCTGGCTGACTTCAAGAGTCTTTTCTTCGAAAGAATCATCGAAGCCAAAAAGTACATAGCAGAGGCAGCTACAGCAGAGCTGTCAGACGCAATAGCAACACTCATCCACGGAAGACCGAAGACAGCAACAGAAGCAATGAAGTATGCGGTAGATCTGTTTAAGGAAAGATTTACAGCAGGGCCAAAGAGACTCTGCGAGTCGTTCCCTAAGGATCACATAACAGAAGAAGGAACGCTCTTCTGGATTCCTCCAAAGAAAATGCCTACGCCTGTAGAGCTGTCGTTTGATGACCCTCTACACACAAAGTATTTGGAAGCAGCCTACTATCTCGTGCTGCGAACATTTGCCATAGAAGGAAATAAAAGCTATGATGAAGCTGTGAAAGAGTACAGAAGTACGGCAAGCACTGAAACTAGCGCAGTAGAGCCATCTGATAAAAACAAGGCACATGAGAAGCCATCACTAGCAGGAATTGACCTGGCGAGTGTTTCTCTCGTGGAGGAAGAGTTTGAAAAAGATTCAGAAACAAACAGCCACATCGACTACATCACAGCAGCAACAAATATAAGATCAAATGTGTACGGAATTCAGTCTCTGGATGCTTTAGAAATAAAAAGAATAGCAGGGCGAATTATCCCTGCAATAGCCACAACTACGGCAGTGGTATCAGGGCTGGCAGTTATGGAGGGGATCAAGTACCTGCTGTGGAAAGGCACGGGAATGACGCAGTACAGGAACACTTTCGTCTCTCTGGCGCTGACCATGGTGATGTCCAGCGAGCCAATTGCCCCGCACAAAGAAACAGTGACGCTGCCAAGCGGAAAAATAGAAGTAAGCCCGTGGGACATGCTGGAAATGAAAGACGAGCAGCTGTCAGAGATAATTAGAAAGCTAAACGAGCGGTGGGGAATGGAAATTCACACGGTGATGAGCGACCTGACTGTGTTGTTCTGCTCGTTCTACAACGCGAAAAAGTTCAAAGACAATTTGCAGAAAAAGCCGTCAGAGATACTCTATCCCTCGGGCGTGCCCCAGGGCGTGCAGTCTGCACGCATTGATGCAGTGATAGAAGACGAAGAAGGAAATGACATTCCTGTGCCGTTTATCAAGATACTGTTTCGGTAGGAATGGTAAGCACACACAATAAATTACACCATCATTTAAAAAGATAAGAGCTCTTGCAAAAATCTCTGCTGTTTTGATAAGCTAACAAACCATCTATACTCAGTAGATTGCTAAAGATGGAAATAGCTGTTGTTTACGAACTAGTGGATATTTCTGCAAGGTTTATCTATTTTTCTTTTGTTTCTCCATAGTTCTCGAAAACTATTTTCTTCCAATTAATATTAATATTCTTTATTTTGTTTATTTGCATGGAGATTCTGCAAGAAAGAGAGAAAACAGCCAGACTCAACGGAGATAAGGAGCAAAGCACAGCTGTTCTTAAGGAGATGGTGGACATCACAAAGACTCCACAGGAGACCGTGGAGGTAATCAGACAAATGGTGAGAAAAAAAGGACAGATAAAAGACGCTCTGACCAGTATGATACAGTATGCATACGACAAATATTTATCTCTCTCTCCCATAGAGATTGTTCCCCATTCCTACAAAGAAGTAGAAATTATCGACATCACCCACGCGTACATCAGCGAACAAATAAGCAGTGAGGGCAGCGCAGGAAAGAAAAGAGTAAAAAATAACTCGCACGAAAGCAGAAGTAAAAACGACGGAAGTTTTTTGGATTTCCTTATACAGCTGCTGAACAATGTGATAGAAGGAAGAATCTACATGGAGGCGCTCAGAATATTCGTGACTGATGCGATAAAACAGATTTACATGGCAGAAGGAGACGCATCCACCGCCCTCTCCTATATATACCCGGTGCACGTTGAGACATTCTCTTCGGTTTCCATGGACGAAATAATCATGTACCAGCTAGAACAGCTAAGGGTCTCTATTTTAGCCAATGACTACGAGAAGGCGCTGACTGTCTCGCAGAGAATGAGCATGAAACAGCTGGAGGGCCATGCAGAGCTCGTGGACTACCACCTGAACAGAATGCTATTCATACACATTCACAACGAAGAGTACCACAAGATAGCAGAAATCTTCAACAAGCTGCGAATAAAAGATGAAAAAAACAGCAAAACAGAGTCGATATACCCAACTCTGGCCATCCTGTTCTGCATTCTCGATATTCACAATAAAGAGTCGCAGAGAACACTTGTGAAAAACATAAACAGCAAACTGTGCTACAATGAGTCAAGGGTGCTGGGAGAATGTTTTACGAATAATCTCTTGATCACTGATACGGTTTATGATCTGATAGAAAATATACAGGAGAAGTACAGTATACAGAACATCATCGGGCACTACGCATCCACAATAAAAGAAAGAGTGGTGCAGTACAACATAATAGTTGTGAGCAAATACTACAGCAGAATAGAAATGTCAAAAATCGTAGAAATTCTGAAAATAGAAAAAGATCTGTTCTCGGAGGTGATAGTTGAAATGATAAGAAAGCAGATGGTCTTCGGAAAGATAGGGCAGATTGAGGGAGTGATTGAGTTTAAAAAAGAAAGCAGAAACATTGAAGAGTGGAATGAGAGCATAAACTCTTTCCTGGAGGCTGTCATAAAAATAAACCACGGTATGAGCAATGTATGATGTCTGGTGGATAGTGCAAGCCAGACGATAAAATAGCGGACAGTATTTTATTGCAAGAATAAAGCAAACTAAACACTTTTAACCTTTCCATCTCTTATAATTTGCCAGACATGACTTATTCCTTCAGCTGTTATTTAAACTTAGCACATCTTCTCGGTGCAATAAATACTTGAATTTTCTTATTCTTTTTATGAAAGAAGACTTGAACAGCAAAGGACACATAGGAGGATCCTTTTCAGATGACTTTATCAAGATAAGCATAAGCAAAGATGCATGCAAGAACAGCAATGAAGAAGTGCAGGCCCGCGTGTCTGAAATAGTGAAGAGTGGAAGGCCTGGGAGCTACTCGATAATCTCGGAAGGAGGAGTCATTGCAACAAAATCATCGAGATCTTCGGACTTCTCGGACCACACGCCCTTTGGCACCTCGGGCATGCACTTTCCAGACGACTATTTCACTTCGCCCCCAAGAAACCATCCCTTCAACCAGTACGACCCTGACAACGACGAACTGCCGCCCCCAGGAGATAAAAAAAACCACTTCATATAGGTAAATAAAGAAACACATTTATTCATATGTACTCCCAAAGTATCTGCGCTAATAAAAATATCGTATTGCACAGAAAAAGACTCATTTGTCTGCTAATTATCCCAAAAGAGAACATATTGGCACTCAGTGTGCTATATTAATTAATTGTCCCAAAAAAGGAAATATGCACAACTGCCAATGCTTCACTATGCATTCTCCCAGAGCATTAGATGCTGCAGCCATCTACAAAAGCATCGAGCAGCAAAGCACAGAATAACTTCAATAAATTGTCACTAATTTCCATCCTCTACTCTGCAATTAGCTAACTCAAACGAACAAAAGATAATTAGCAAATATCTCCATTTATTTACCAGCCAGCTAGTGCACCGATCATCTGAATCTCCAGTGCAGATCTTTCCCAAATAATCAAATGTTTATGGCGCTTGGACTGCAGACGAATGCCCAAGAACTCTGTGCAGGATAAACTTAATACTGTTCTGAATCTTTATTATTTTTACTCTAGTGCCCATTATTAAAATGATACTTCAGCCCGTTGGCGTTCTTGTATCTCTTTCCACAGCCCGGCACATCGCAAGCATATGGCTTCTCGCTCTCCAGTCCTCCTCCCGTGTGTCCTTTGCTCATGTGGTACTTCAGCCCGTATGCTGATGTATACTTCTTGTTGCATCCTGCATGCGTGCACTTGAATGGTCTTTTTTTGTCTTCGTCCTCGTAGTGCGACTCCCCCATCATTTCCACCTCTGCGTCCATGTCAAAGTCTCTTACGACCACAGGGGGCAGTAGCACCCCGAGTGCCAGGGACTCTGACTGCAGGATCGTGTTGTAGAAGGCCGTGGGCTTCGAATAGTCGTATGTCATTGAGCTGTCGTTGAATACAACGGTGGGCACCTGCACTACTTCGTTGTGCGTGTCGCCCCCGTGCCATTTTACGTGCTGCAGCCCGTCTTTTTTGTCGCTTGATATGAATTTGTAGTGCGACTTTTCGTAGTGCGATACAAGATCGTGCAGGGTGGGGAGTGCCTCACCGCAGCACTGGTAGTTGCTCTCGCTTAGGTCGTCTATTCTCTTGGTATCTTTGAAGGTGAATGGCGATGTATCCGTGCTCTCGTGGCATGGAGTGCTTACTTCTGGTATTTTCAGAGATATCCCGGGCTCTTCCACTATCTCTGTGTCCATGGTGGACTCAATTGTCTTCTGGATGGATTCGTAGTCCAGTGGGATTGGTCGTCTTTTATTCTTTCTCTCATCTGCTGCTGACGGATGAGTGAATTTATTTTCCTTTTCGATTGCAGTCATTCTTTCTCCTTTATTCACTTATTTTAAATATTTTAAAAGAAATTTCCATTGGCTGATTTCCAGGGGTAATTGGGTATATAATTAATAGTCAGAAATATAAAAAATGAAGGAGAGACGGGAGAAAAGAGAAAAGGAGAAAAGGCGCCTGACTGCCATCAACGCCGAAATATCTCTGCTGGAGAAGGAGAAAGAGATGAACTCAAACGCCATGATAGAGATAGAGAACACGAAAGAGATACAGAAAAGAGCAAGAATTAAAAAAAAGAGCGAAGAGAAAATGAGAATTTTGAAGACAATGAAAAAGAAGAGAGGATTGGCGTGCCAGATGAGCTGCGGAGTGGTGAGCCAGGCGCGGATTAAATCGCTCAACCAGCTGGTGTATGAGATGACCAACCTGCCACTGGACTATGTGCTGAGCCAGTCGAGCAAAATGGTGCTGACAGAGGAGTGGAACCTTTCCATGGCGGAGAGAGAGTGCGTCAGAAAGTTCAGCAAAGTAAAAGAGCTCATAAGCAACAAAATGTTTTTGGAGGAGAAAAACGCAAATTTGTTCACGGGAGTGGAGCTGAAAAGACGGGAAATACTGAAAAGAACAAAAGAGCAGAAGAGCAGAATAAAGAACATGGCAGACATACTGGCAGGAAAGCTAGAGAGCGATGCTGTGGAAGAGAGTTTAGGCGCAGGTGCACTGGATAGCACCAAAGACAAAGAAACAGCTGCAGAAGAGTCAGATCTTGAAGAAGAGAAAGAGGAAAGAGAGAGCGAGGAGAAAAAGAGCGGGCACAGTAACCACATGCTGGCTGACAGATACAAATCCATTCTCGGTCTTTTCTCTCTTATGAAGTCGAATAAGAGCAATGTTCGATACGTTGTCCCGCAGAGCAAAAAAAATACCATCATGCACTCATCGCACTCCACGTGTCTGGAGAAGATAAAAACAGAGCCGGGAAAGATAACGACCATTCCAGAGCTTGTTAAGTATCGACTGTGCAGGAGGAATATGATCGAAGGAGACAAGAGCCTCGCTATGAACAATGCCATCAAGGGGGGAAAGCAGGCGTCTTCATCAGCTGAAACAGAGAAGAGCGAAGGAGCGCCTCTTGAGACAGACAGCAACTCAGTTGACGATGTGGTAATATAGCTAGATACTTAAAATGGTTATATAGAGCGTTCTTGAAGCAGATATCTGCGATTTCAGGGCACAGAATTGTAAAGAATAAATAATGTATTTCTCAACTCAATGAGGCTTCTAAAGTGTTTTTGCAAAATGAATTTTATTCCGGTGGTGAACTGCAACAAAAAAGTAGAATTATAGCTAGAAAGACGGGCAGAAGTGTTTAGTGAATGAATAGTTAATTTTTCAGATTATTTTTCATCTTTAGTCTGTCCATCTGTGCTACACTTTTGCTCTTTTTCCTCGGGTTGTGCTTTGATTGAATAAAGAAAAATAATTGGTCAATGCTAATTACTTTGCAGGTTCTCCAGAGCTAATTATCCAGTTAGCATTGGCATAATGCAGCAGTTGTGATGTAGATTGCTTATAGCTCATGGAAGTGCGGGTGCGCATCTGCTGAGTAGCTGATCTTTTTTCTCGGGAGTAATATTGCTGATGATGCCCCGTGAGGGGGGCAGGAGAGGGAGAATAAATACAGAAAAATTGTGTCGGTTATGAACCGGACATCTGAATTAAAGTATGAACCAAAGATGAACAACTACGTTTTGAAAGAAGTGATTGAAACAGGAACAACGAGCTACGTGTACAAGGGAGTGGACATAAGAACCAATGAAACAGTTGCAATAAAAGTCATAAGCAGGAAGAAATACATAGGAATTGAGAAGAAACAGGCAAGAGAGAACAGAATACTCCGAGAAGCTCTCATCTCTTTCCTTCTGAGCCACAGAAACATTCTCCAGCTAAGGGAGTTTTTCTACACAAATGAGTGTTTCTACCTCGTCTTTGACTACATCGCAGGAGAGCAGCTCTTGAAAAAAGTGGTAAAACACAGAAAGCTGTCTGAAAATGTGGCCAAAAAATACTTTACACAAATACTCAACGCTGTGAACTACTGCCATTTGCACAGCATAGTCCACAGAGACATAAAAATAGAAAACATTTTGATCGATAAAGACGACAACGCTGTGCTGATAGACTTTGGCCTTGCAAATTTCTACGAAAAAGAGGGGTTTCTAGGAACATTCTGCGGGTCTTTGTACTTTGCAGCTCCAGAGCTTTTATCCGGCAATTTGTACAAGGGCCCGGAGGTAGATGTGTGGAGCCTTGGCGTTGTTCTGTACGTTATGGTCTGCGGGAAAGTCCCCTTTGACGATAAAAATTTGCAGTCGCTATACCACAAAATAATATCAGGTGCCATTCTAACAGACGGCATATCAAACGACTTAAAGTCACTGCTGATGCAGATGCTCAACCCGAACAGAAGCACAAGAATAAGCATTTCAGAGATATACAAGCACCCCTGGCTGTTTGGATTTGAAGAAAAAGACGAGCCAAAAATAGAAGAAATATCCGGGGCAATGGACCCCAATGTTTCTGCATATCTCAACTATCTCTTCGGAGGACAGTTCAAGAAAAAAGATGGCAGTTACTACAACAGCATAAAAAAGCTCTATCTTCTCTTCAAGGGAAAGCAGAAAGGGCGGCTCCTCAGCAACCGGCTGGATGGGATAGTAGATTTTGTCTCGGATAAAAAGATGAAAGTAAAAAACAGCTTGATTCGCCACTGGAGGGGCATAAAAAGCACAGAAAACATTCTCGTGGGGGCTCTTGAAGAGATAATCCGGGAAATGGGCCTCACATTCGAAGTGGCAGCGGGAAGGTATTTGTGTACATTGGATAATGATACTTTCATGGTGCAGCTGAGCAAGAACGTTTTCAACAAAGCATACGGCCTGGACATAAAAAGCACGTCAAAAAATGAAAACGTAAAAACGATCAAAAAACTGATGAGATCAAGGCTCAGACAGCTGCTCCAGCCGGACAAGCTAGTTCTCATAAACAACGCAGAGTCTGTTCTTCCCAAATAATAGAATAATAAATACACTAACTAATAGCAACTCTTACGTTTTATTTTCCACTTTTGGAGGAATGCGCATCTATCTTGTAGCAGTTGCTGATAAATTGAATGGGCTGAATGTTTTTCAACTATTTATTTAGTCGTACTCGATGGATTATTTAACTGTCTGGCCGTGATCTAACAGGCAGTGCTGCATTCGCAAAACAGAGAGCTGATATCTTTGATTTTTCTTCTATTCTAGAACTTAATAATCAGGTACTGTTTATTTCCTTTGACTAGCTCGCTAGTGGCGTAAATATTCATTGCTCCTGCTGAGCCTCAGTGAAAATAGGCGCTTTTAGACCGCACATCCCAATTTAACCCGCACTGCACAGCTAGTACGCAGCATCTTCAGTGTACTCTGTTGCCCACAGGGACAGATTGTCTCTGAGCAGCTGCATGATAAGGGTGGAGTATTTGTAGCTGTCCTCTGCAAGGCTGTCCAGCTCTGAAATCGCTTCATCAAACGCTCTTTTTCCCATCTCCATTGCTCTGCTTCTTTCATTCAGTATTTCAAAGCAAAAAACGGAGTAGTTCAGATAGAGCCCGAGTCTCGTAGGGTTTGTGGGTATCAGATGCGCGTTTGCAATGTCCATCGCCTGCTGGTACGCATCGTGTGCCTGCTGCGACACTTCTGCCAGGTACTCTTCTCCTGCTATTTCTGCTTTGTATCTGAGATAGTCTCCCTTCATTTTCAAAAAAAACACTTGCGCATCTTTTGCCTCATCTTCAACTAAATATGTGTCGAGCAAAGATAGCAAATCGTCGCAGATGTAGTTCAGCTCTTCTTCCACTGCTTTTATGTATCCGAGGATTATCTCAATGTGCTGGCTGTTCTGCGGGTCTGCCAGCTTGGCCTCCTGCAGAGACTTGCTCAGGATTCTCCACGACGTCCTTCTTACGCCCACTTGGTTCTTGTATGCAACTGAAAGCATATTTCTTTCCTCTATTCCTATTTTGTTTTTTGACGATGCTGACTGTTTCACCGCCTCTTTCATGCACTCCACCATCTGTTCAAATCTTTCTGCCTTTTCGCTTAACTTTGCCTTGAACACAGACTCTTCGTACGATGCCATGATATTTCTAAAAATTAATTTATTCTTTGTTTATTAAGCATGAAAAATATACTCTATGGCACGAATTCTCTTTTTGGGCTGGTGGTCTCAATCTACGGAAATCTTGACTTTGGCCGTCCCCTTAGGCTCCGCTCGAAAGGCTTCATTGAGTTCTTTGAAAGATTCTACCACCTGACACACATTGGGCTCTTGCTTACATCGATCTCTTTTCTTATGGGAATGCTGTACAGGCGCCAAAAACGGTATGATGAGAACAGCAGAATCAGCAAAACACTCAAAGTGCTCTACATGGACATTCTTGCCATCACAGTCACCGCTGAGTGTTTTATTCCTCTAATATTCTGGGTACTTTGGCATATTGATGAGTCATCAGTGGTCACTAAGTCCTCCTACGTAGGGGAAGATACAATTTCTCTTTTTTTCAACCTGTGCATGCACGGGCTTCCAACGATCTTTCTTCTGGTGGAGTTTTTCACCTTTGAGTTCTTGGGGCGCAGGGGACACTATCTCTTTCTCTTTCTGTTTTTTATGCTGTACATAGGCGTTATGTATTTGTTCAACATAAAAACAGGGGAATGGCCGTATGGCATTGTGGGCACGCTCGCAGGGCCGTACCGCATTACGTTTTTCGCTGCTTGCTTTGCTGTTCTGTGCGCTCTGTACTATCTTCTGTCGTGTTTCCACTTTATGGTGTGGAAAACAAAACACGAAAAAAGGAGAAACAAGGAGAGAAAGCTGGAAAAAACAGTTTAATTAATTTTTTTGCAGTGCATCGCATGAAGAGGGAGGAATCTGTACAAAGATACAATAATCTGTCCAGAATGATAAATTGCTTTATCTGTTTCGCTGGATTTCTGTTCACAATCTACGGAAACTTAGATATCGACCACAATATGCCGTTTAATATTGTGTGGTGGATATCGCCCAAGAAGTTTTTCTTCATCACCAACTCTACGCTCTTGCTGAGTACAATTGCTTTTGCAATGTCTGGATTTACCTACGGAGTCAGCGCGCGCTACAAGTCCAAAGTCATAGCATCTCACATCCTGGCATGCGCACTCTCTGCAGAGGTGCTGATTTGTCTGATTTTCTGGCCAATCTTCTGGAGTAACCCGAATCTTGTGTTTCCCCTTGCCTCGCTTGAAGGCCCGCAGAGAATCAGCTTATTTTGCAATCTGTGCATGCATGCTCTGCCAAGTGTCTTTCTATTTGCCACTTACGCCCTAGACCCGAGAATAAACCCACCGAGCTACAACGGGCTATTGTTGTACATTGCCTATATAACTGTTCTCTCAGCGGCATTCTACCAGATCAACGGATATTGGAGATACAAAGTGCTAAAAGTCTTGCCAAAGCCTGCTCTTTTTGCTCTACCCATTGTTCTCTTTTTTGCAGGATGTTTTACTGTGCGATGCATGTACTTTGCAAAGCTGAAAGTCAGAAGAAGCAAAATGTTTGAAAAACTGACAAAAATCGCGTCATTCAACTCCGTTCTTGTGTAGCCATAGATATACCCCGAATGTTTTATAACTTCAATCTTTCCATTATTTTTCAGAGCAAGCTATCTCAACATAGAAATAAATCACACCTCAACACACATCCTTAGAGCCGCACCACAGCTTGTTCATACTCCCTACTACTTATTATCTTCTCGAAAGTCTTTTACTAAATACTGCAGAAACTATTTACTAAAAGACGCACTAGTGTAGATAGCCTTACAAGGCTCCTATTAAATGTATTTGCAGCAATAAACATATGCTAAGGAGCTATGCAGCTCAAATCTACAGCATTTTTGTTTGCATTTTCAATTTGCATTTTTAATAAAAATGCGCACTATTAATGTTTATCTGTGCCATTTGTTTCCCAGAGCATAAAAACAGTCTTTTTCCGCTGAAATGAAGTGTTCTTGCAAGTGCTCCTCTAGTATTTACCGGATATTCTTTTTTTAACGGTCATTGGATACAAATTCCTGCAAAAATTCTCATTGACCTATTCGAGGTATTTTACAAAGTAACTGGTACACAGGAGAATGCAGTATGACCTCGATGGAAGACACTCAAGAAAAACTCAAAAAATTCTGGACGAAATAGAAAAAGAGGAACTGCAGAACAGGAATGAATGGTCTGTCGAAAAAACGATCGAATGGATAAAACACAACTACCACTCTATAATTCTTGTTTCTGTGCTGCTGACGTGCTGTCTTTTCAATCTTGACGTGCGAAAGGGAAAGATATTTCCGTTCCGGATCTTTGGCGTATCTCTTTTGAAGTACATGATAGTCGGCCAAATGAATCTCGTCCTTGTCATTGCAGCTCTTTTCTTTGGGCTGCTAGATCACTTCTTTGTTGATAGAAAAGGTTTTAAAAACATCCTGGGAAGCTACTCGCATGCTGCCAACGATGCAATTGACAGTCTTTTGAAACTTCTTCTCAACAGAGACCCAGAAAAGAGAGAATCATCGTACTACTCTTTCTTTTTAAATCCTTTGTATAGTTTTGCATACAACACAACCAGCACAGGGACTGTTCAGACAGTGGAAAGCGCCAGAAACAATATATACGAAAAAACAGTGTTTATTGTGAAGAGAATGCATGTTCTTCTGCTGTGGATGAGCATGTTCTGGTCTTTTGTCTCTCTTTCTACGCTTCTTTTCGCAGGCCTTACGAACTCTTCAATGATTCTGGGCAACTTTTCCCATTTTTCTGGAGTCTCTTCAAGTTTTTCATACAACTTGCTGATACGTGCGGTGCCCTTCTTTGGCGTTCTCTACGACCGAATAGCGCTCAAAACAACAGAAACGAGCTATTTCTCGGAAAGAACATACATCTACTCTCTGGCAGGATATGGCGGCGTGCTGCTGCTAATGAACCTTCTTATGCGTCTGTCTGAAGAGGTTTGGCCGTACCACTTTTGCGACTACATCACGGTGAAAATGTTCTTCTTTAACTTTGGCGTGTTTATTATCTTTGCAAACATCTGCTCCCTAATCGTTAAGTATATAGATAAAAACTATCTAGACACGATGGTAAGCAAATGCTACCGCTACTTTATGGAGAATGGGACAGAGGGCCTCTATCTCTATCTGAAAAAGGAGAAAAAACTGATCAACACTTTTCTTAGCGCACTCGTTTTTATCATGGGAGCTACGTGTTTGTATGTGACTTTCTACATGATGTTTGGGTACTTCTTTAACATTTTTATGCTGAAAATCTACCCAGTAACAAAAAATTTAATGAACTAGACGCGTTCTGCTTCAAATAAATTATTCTCTGTACATTTCTTCTGCAGCCATCCATACTATTTAATTTATTCATGTTCTCCATTCCTAGCAAAATATTCTAAAAATCAGCAGAACAAATCACAGCACACGCTGCAAAAAGAATAGAAAGTTTAAAGAGCAGTGCACAGTTTGAATTAGCTCTGTATGTGCATACCCACATGGCAGCGCTATTGGCTAGACCTGGCAAAACAAATTTTCCTTTTTAAGACATTGCTTTTTCAACAATATGCGAATATATAAACTTAAAATAAAATTGTGTGCTACAAGCAATGCTATTTACACAGGAGGAGCTAGTCAATCTAGTACAAAGCCAAGTAGATAGGAGCATAGAGAAAAAGGTGCGTGAAATACTATCGGAGATAACCTTTAAAACCATCTCCACCAGCATGAAAATAGAAACAGCTATTTACTACATACTGAAAAAGATAAACATACGCAAGATACTGGAGACTGTCGGAGTAGAAGAAAATGCACTGCAGTACGTAGAGGGATGTCTGTACAATGTGCCCATTCCTTCAGAAACGAAAATTGAAATTGTAAACGCTCTAGAGCGCAGCGGAGATGGAAATGACTCAGACAGCGAGGAAAATACTCCACTCGCCCCGCCCTCTCTCGATGCTATATACCACTATCTGGCGCGCGAGATATATAAAGCATGCGATGAGTACCAGAAGCCGCTCCCTGAGAACAACACACATATGCATCAGGTGCTGTTTAACACTTCTGTCAGGTATTCGGACACACTGGGGCCGCTTGCCCTTTTTATAGACTACACTGTGTGGAATCTGATATCCAGGTTTCTCTACACCTTCTACAATGACATAGAAGTCCTTCCGCTAGTTCACATGTACTCTGAAATGGGCCCCCTGGCAGTCGATGTCTTTTTAATGCAGCAGCTGGATGTGCTAGATCTTCTCATGGAAAGAGCAAAAAAAGAGTCAGTGCCAGAGACTGAGCTGTACTTTGTTCTGAGAAATATCAAAAGCATCCACTACCACTGGAAAAGCATAATCGATATAGAGTGTCTGGGGCATACCCTAGACTGGGCCACTGTAGTGGCTAGAAAGTGCGTGATGAACTCCAAGGCTTTGCCAAACAATGCAAAAAAAACAGTTCTCAAATCACCTATTGATCCGATTCCTCTTGACACTCTGATGAGAGAGTTTGAGTATGATGTAATTATGCTCTCTTCTGGGCATAAAATGCGCCACGACCTGGATCTGATAGAAAGAGCAAAACACAGAGAGTATGCAAGAAATCTTTTGCTAGCTATCCAGCCCACAAGAAAAAAAGTGTTTATGTATAAGGCCATCAACTACACGATAAAAGTGTTCTCTGCACTGTTTATTGGAATATCTTTTGCTCTGTTTCTGAACAGATCTCTTGTAGACGGAAAGACCAATCAGGTGGGAAATTCCTATCTAACAAACTCGACGAGAACTCTGAATGCAATAGCCCTGATATGCATCATCGTCTTCAATGCAATCATTCTGCAAAAACAGTCTTTTGCAGACTGCAAACACAGCATACTTTCTCTGCTAGAAAAAGAAAGCGACAAGCTTCTCCTTAAAATATCTGTGATTGGTCTAACTTTCACTGCCCTTTTCTATGTTCAGCCTGTTCTATACACTCTGTGGATTTTTAAGTATGGAATGTACCTTACATGTGCTGTCGCACTGGCTGCTACTTTGCTAGACCAGTTTATCAGACCAAGAAACACATTTGGATGCAACCAATGGAGCACGTCGATCTGTACTATTTTTTATATTATATCTATTGCATTCATGGCGTATACTATTTACAGATTTACGCCCCATGACATTAATTTATATATGGTATAACTCCCATACGATGCTAGAGAGTGTTTGGTGATTAATTCGGTCTTAAGAGACTGCGCTATCTATTAAATAAATACTTTTGTTCATTTACTCCTCTTCTTTTCTTCTCTCTTGTAGACTTTCTTCTATTTAGCAATAATTTATCCACTACCTGTATACTTTTCAGAAAGTTCAGCTATTGGAATAAAAATAAAAAAGTGTACGGAATATAAATATAAATTCTCTTTATTGAACAACAACTAATAAAAATATAAGAAATCAACGCCAATTGAAGGGAGATTAAAGAGTTAATAATTCAAGAGTTACTAAGCGTTCATCTACAGATAAATGGAAGAAGCTCCAAATAATCTTTAAGAACACATTTCTATGGGCAGTTTTTACCACCAATTGTAAAACAAATTAAAAACTAAAACTTAGACAAAAAAGGAGCTGTCCAATGCGAAAAAGTGCAGAAGTGTGGTGTACATGTAGATTAATCTAGTAATTTAATTTTCAAGTATATTAAGAAAGACTCCTTTGCCCACATGAACTCTGATGTATTTTTTGGCCATTTTCTGCTGACAGTGCTCAACGCGCTTACGATTCTAGTGCTTTTGTTGGCGTAGCACTGAAAAATAAACTCTTAAATATGCGAAGACAGAAACTTTTTCAAATTGAATCTCTTCATATTTTTACAAAAAGAGAGCTTGCTCTTACTGCGCCATTTGTTCTGAATAAAAGAGATCGAGACTGCAGAGACAGAAAACTACTGGTATTCCTCCTATGGATGGCATAGGAATTGCACCCGAAGTGTTGTCCAATTTCCTTGCTTTTTATTAGTCACTTGGCGTCCAATAAAAAGTGTGTATTTTTTTCTGTGCTCCTTTGCTTGAATGATATACTCACTATGCATATACAATAGGCGTAGTAAGCGGTTTCTTCCGAGATGCTACGGAAATGTAAAAGAGTCTAAGGTCACCGGATGGTTTGCAAGAAGAACAAAAATGGGACACAAACTGCTGCTGCACTTCCACAACTACGCAGTCGCATTTATTTTTGCAATGGTTCTCGCATCGTATGCATGGTTTGCATCCTTGGCCAACTATATTAACAGCACAAAGGACAATCTAATTATCTTTTTATATCCTTTTCTACTGATAGCTGTGGTGCTGTTTCACGGGAAATACAGAGAAACCGGCAAAACAACGATCGAACAAAGCATGAGCAAAGCCATCATGCTGTACGGTCTCTCTGTGTGCATGGCTGCCTCCATCATCTGCATCGGCAGGATCAGCCCGGGATCAGCTATTACAAAATATTTTGCACTGGAGCAGGCTGTTATTTACAATGGAGTTGTGTTGCACGGTGTGAACTACTCGAACACTAGAACTCTTCATAGGATTATTCTTTTCTCAACTGTTCTGTACTTTTTGGGAGCAGCTATTTCTCTCTTTTCCATGTATCGATGGTAGTTCTAGCAGCACTGACTTAGAGACTCTCATTTAGACAATGCCGATATTAATTTCATGAAGAATTTGCTAAAATGTGATTGCCAACAGAAAGTAAGAATTTAAAAGATAGCACTTGTGCTCTACTGGATTGTCTGAAATAACGAAAGAAGAACAGAATGTTCGTACGATTTGAATTCAAACACTTTATAGCCCAAAAAGTTAGAATTAAAACTCAAATATTGAAAAAGAGCGAATGTCAGAGGAAGAAGTACTGGAACTATTCAAAGAATGCTTGGTAGGAAATAGAAGGGTCTTGGATGAAAGAGAAACAGAGTATTTCTGGCTGCGCACACAACTCATAGGATGGAGTGCAAAAGAAGAGCTCACGATAGACACCGTATACTCTGCCTACATAACTGTCTATAAGAAACACTGTAAAATTATCCAGCTAATTGAAAAAACAGACAAAAAGCTATTGCTACACAACCTGCAAGCGAACATAACAGAAAAAGAGCTAAATGATATATTGAAACACCTTTATAATAAATAAACAAACACTCTGTAGACATTTTGTCAGAATAACAATCCATTCTTCTAGTGCTCTCTTTCAATCTAGTTTCAACAAGTAAAAAATCTGGAAAAAGAGGCGATTAAGAAAAAAGAGAATGCTTGAGAAGAGAGACAGTAAATTAACTACTAAATGTAACAAGACATACTTCTTGGGCTATTCGCTTTACAACGAACTCCACATTGGGCAACAACTGACCAAGAAATTAAACTGTGATGTAATTCGTGCATATTTAGCACAAAAAATAGGCTGTTTTCTGTTGCTATAGCATCTTCTATCTGGACCAATCATTGAGCATTTTTTGCTTTCTCAGCGCCTGTGTATTTCCTATTGCAAAGTAGAAGTGGCTTTGTGCTGTAAAATTTTTCTAAGTATTTCCAGAAAATATTTTAGCCCATGCAACCTGTGTTTATCGCTTCGTGTTCATACTTGGGAGTTTCATGCCACAGGGACATTTATTTTTAATATCCTCGATGTCCATAGCATGTTTCATCTTTTTGTATATTTTGTATATCTCTTATTTGGAGCATGAGAATAAGCACTATTTTTCTTCTGCCGTATGCATGCTGCAAAGTGTCCTACGAGGTTGCGCAGGCCATACAGGAAAGCAGAAAAAGCTACAATCTAAAACCGCTGGAAATAATTCAATCTGTGATAGATGTATCGAGAGACAGAGTGGAGGAGCTGGCAGAGTCTTACGAGAAGTACAGCAACTCAGACTACCTCAGAAGAGTTGTTGAGAAGCACGGGATTAGGCCATTTGCCATGGGAGAGAACAACGGAAAAAGCAGAAACAAAGAGAATAACGGACTGGATATTTTCGAAGAGTGGCTGAGATCAGAAAAACACAGGAAAAACATCGTAAAGACGCCAGAATATACACACCTAGGCGTGTACATGCTCAAAACAGAGACAAATCTGTACATCTCCGCGGTATTTTTCCAGATGAAAGAAACACAGTCAGAGATTGCAAAGATCAGACAGGAAATGGAAAAAGAGCATGATTTAGGCCGGGGAATGTCCATTAGAAGCTCATACATTGACAAAATAAAGAAAACAGTGCCTATGAGCATGCTTTACAGTGCACCCGAAAAAACAGAAGTGAAAAAAGCGATATCCAGCCAGATAAATTCTCCAGCCCTTTCAAATCCAACTAGTCTGCCTACTGGAAAAGATGCACACTCGTCTCTGCAAGAAGTTAGCACTCCGTTTAGCACAGTCCAGCTAGTGTATCCGAACTCCTTAGACATAAAAAATTTATCGCCATCTAACACACCCATTCAATTCGTATACCAGCCATCTGAGCCCCAGAAGCAGAAAACATCCCAGAATACAAGTAGTGAAGGTGTGCAGGGAACTCCTGATTCTTTGAGCTCAAATCAACTATCATCTGCTAACAAGGCAGAACCATCTTCTCCAAATTCAAATTCAAATTCAAATGAGAATCCGAATGCGAGTGTGAATCCAAGTCCAAACACAAATCCAGATGCAAACTCAAATCCAAACCAAAAGACTATTATTAAGCTGATCATGGTCCAGCCAGTGAGCAATAACTCCAGCAATCCCCTGGAGATAGTCACGCACTGATATCAAACTATTCGAAAATCCACCAATTTCTCCACTTTGTCGCTCAAACTATCCAAGCACAGAGCTCAGTGAAGACAAGAACAAATAAACCCATAAATTATTCTTTATTTATTCCACATGCTCTAGAAACAAATCATCTCTACACCCAGCTCTACTTCGCTTGTTTTAATAAAATGTCCCGAGCTTCATTAATTTTCTGCGCTAAATATTCACTTCCCCCTGCATCCGGATGGTTTCCCCGCAGGAGTCTGCGGTAGTTTTCATACACAGCTGCTCTGCTAAGCGATGCCACCCCTAAAATCTCCATTCCCTCTCTAACTGTCATTTTTCCAAGAAATCCACTGTGTCTCCAAATATTAAGCCCCATGTTCTGTTTTTATTTATGAGCAAAGAAAGAGTCGACAATGACTTCAGCAAGGAAGGCACTCTTTATCAAGTGGAGTATGCGCTGGAGGCAGCAAAGAAAGGAATGCCGTGTGCGATAATAGGAAGCAGCTCTTGTGTGGTCATGGCTGCGTCTAAGCGTCTTCCCGAGAAGCTAATGGACACTGATTACATATCTAGCTTCTTCGAGGTGCTCCCAGGAATTATTGGAGTGGCCAGTGGATTTCTGCCTGATGTACAGTGCACAATGAGCCAGGTAAACCAGATAGCTGTAGATCTACTGCACGACCTCGGGGAAACGCCAGGAGCTGACCTAATTTCCAGAGAAATCGCAGATAAATGGCAGCTGCAGACACAGGAAGACACCAAAAGACTGTGTGCTGTTTTTCTGGCAATTATTGGGTACGAAAAAGGAAAACCTTCTATTTTCTACACCGACTCATCGGGGATACTTTTGCCATACAAAGCTGTGGCATTTGGAGAAGGAGGCACTGTCATGATGAAGAAGCTGGAGAAATTGTACAAGCCAGAGCAATCGCAGAGTGAAGCCACTGAGAACGCTCTGATTACTCTGTCAGAGGCGCTGGGTGCGGAGTATCTGGCAACAAATGTTGAGCTGGCTATTTTTACGCCAGATGGAAAGCTGAAAAGAGCGAGCACAGACGAAATTGACGGATTCCTTGTGGACATAGCAGAGAAGATATAGCCTGACTGAGCCTGTGGGCATTCAATAAAAGCGCCAATAAGGAATTTAGCTGAACAAATCTTATTTTTATACAAATGAAAACTAGCAAAAGAATCTCCATTAGGAGAAGTATCCTTTTAGTAGCATCGGTTGTAATGGTGTTTTTGTTCATTAGAAGCATTAAGAACAAGATAGTACTTGCAATATCTGCAGCAGCAGTGTTTGGCGTAGGAATTGTGTCTTTAGCAGCTTACAGGGCAATGAAAGTTCCAAGTGTCTCTGGAAAAGAGTATTCCTCCTATCTC